CCAGCCTCTTGCATGATGTCAGACCTTTGAACTGGTATCTCACCTCCCAGTCCTCCAGTCTTCCCACCTTGTCTTGCAACCCCATGAGATGGTATCTCACCTCCCATCCCATTGGGCTGCACAACTCTTCCTTGACCATGCCCCTTGCCAGAACGTTGCACTTCTCCAGCAAGTAGCCCTGCTGCGACACCTCGATGGTGCCCAACTTGTTCAACACCTTGAGGGTGTTCATCTTGATCGACACCTTGAGGGTGCCTAACTTGATCGACACCTTGAGGGTGCCTAACTTGATCGACACCTTGAGGGTGCCTAACTTGATCGACACCTTGAGGGTGTCCACATTGTTCGACACCTTGAGGGTGTCCAGCACGTTGACCTTGTCCAGCATCTTGAGGATACCGAAGGTCCACACCTTGAGAGTGTGCAAATTGATCGACACCTTGAGGGTGTCCTGCATGTTGACCTTGTCCAACATCTTGAGGATGTCGAAGGTCCACACCTTGAGGGTGTACTTCACGGCGACCTTGTCCAGCATCTTGAGGATACCGAAGGCCTTGACCTTGTCCAGCATCTTGAGGATACCGAAGGTCTTCATCATCATTTGATGGCATAGCCCCTTGAGTCTGCAAGGCCACACCTCGTCTTGTACTCCAACTTGACGGAGCACTCATTCGTCCCATTGCTAGCGGCTCCAACTCTCGCGACGCGTCTGCATCTTCTATCTCCGGAAGGTCCTCCTTGACTGAGACCTCTTCCCTTGGCGTCCACATCGGCTGCTCCATGGCCAACTGACGTGCTTCTCGTAGGTGTTCTTGCTGAACCCCTGCTGACCACCACGGATTCGGCTCGGTGCCTAAGTCCAACAGGTCAGTGCTCACATCCAGTTCTTGCCGTAGAGCCCCTCCATGTTCGCCTCGTAGTAGAGCTCGTCCTCCACCTTGACCATCACTGCCATTGGGTAGAGCTCTTTCATCTCCACGCCGAAGGTCTCTGCCATCATGTCCAGCTCGGTCTCTTCCATGCCCTTCTTGGCCTTCTTGATCCAGCCGTAGAGCACGAGGTCCACTTCTGCCAAGTGGCACCGAACACGACCTAGTCCACGACATGGCAGGCGCCCCTCAGCTGAGCGTTGGGCTCATAACCTGTGCAAGGCAGAGCAGCGCGACTTTTGATCCATTAAGAGCCTGCGCAATCACACGCAGGTTGTCAGGTTGTTGCACTGATAAGAACAGATACTTCACCTGTCCATCAGTGATAAGAGCTGATCCTACATCTGTCCAGTTGTACATGCATGCACATGAACCCTTTTGCACCATGAATTATCTGCGAATGTTCCATTATTCATCCGGATTCCCAAACCTGGGAATTGATAAGGGGATAATACCCACCATCTATTGATAGATTATTGATATCCTCATTGATATTTGAGAAAATCCCCATGATTCATGGATTGATATCCTCATCTATTGATAGATTATCTGGTTGGTGGTTTCAACCATCTTGAAAAATATATTAGTCACTGGGAAAATAAAATATCTCATATATTATGGAAAATAAAATTCATGTTCCAAACCACCAACCAGTTTTTGATATTTGATATATTATTGATATCCTCGTATCATCTAGGGGATAGTTCCCATTAATATCCTCATTGATATTTGAAATCTATCCATCTGGGTAAATTATAATATTTCACTAACCTGAAATAAGGCTCACATGGAGATGATTTCCTTTATTAACCATGATTCCAGGGCTCGGGAGAACAGTGAGGTCGTTATAATTTACCCAGATCTATTGATAGATTATTGATATCCTCATCTATTGATAGATTATCTGGTTGGTGGCTTTAACCATCTTGAAAAATATATTAGTCACTGGGAAAAAAGAATATCCCATATATTATGGAAAATAAAATTCATCTTCCAAACCAGCAATCAGTCATTAATATTTGATAGGTTATTGATATCCTTATATCATCTAGGGGATAGTTCCCATTGATATCCTCATTGATATTTGAAATCTATCCATCTGGGTAAACTATAATATTTCACTAACCTGAAACAAGCCTCACATGGAGATGATTTCCTTTATTAACCATGATTCCAGGGCTCGGGGGAACAGTGAGGTCGTTATAATTTACCCAGATCTTGATAGATTATTGATATCCTCATCTATTGATAGATTATCTGGTTGGTTGTTTTAACCATCTTGAAAAATATATTAGTCACTGGGAAAATAAAATATCCCATATATTATGGAAAATAAAATTCATGTTCCAAACCACCAACCAGTTTTTGATATTTGATATATTATTGATATCCTCGTATCATCTAGGGGATAGTTCCCATTTGATATCCTCATTGATATTTGAAATCTATCCATCTGGGTAAATTATAATATTTCACTAACCTGAGATAAGGCTCACATGGAGATGATTTCCTTTATTAACCATGATTCCAGGGCTCGGGAGAACAGTGAGGTCGTTATAATTTACCCAGATCTTGATAGATTATTGATATCCTCATCTATTGATAGATTATCTGGTTGGTTGTTTTAACCATCTTGAAAAATATATTAGTCACTGGGAAAATAAATATGCCCATATATTTATGGAAAAATAAAATTCATGTGTCCACCACCACCAGTTTTTGTTGATATTTTGATATATATTATATCCTCGGTATCTCTAGGGATAGTTCCCATTGATATTCCTCATTGGAAATATTTTGAAATCTCTCCATGGGTAAACTGATAAGAACATTTTTCCTAACCTGCGATAAGGCTCAAATGGAAGATTTCCTTTATTAACCATGATTCCAGGGCTTCGGGAGACTGAGGGTCGTATAATTTACCCAGATCTGCAATATATTATTGATATCCTCATCTCTTGATAGATTATCTGGTTGGTTGTTTTCAACCATCTGAAAAATATATTGTCACTGGGAAAATAAAAGGGAACTATAATTATGGAAAATAAAATTCATGTTCCAAACCACCAACCAGTTTTTGATATTTGATATATTATTGATATCCTCGTATCATCTAGGGGATAGTTCCCATTTGATATCCTCATTGATATTTGAAATCTATCCATCTGGGTAAACTATAATATTTCACTAACCTGAGATAAGGCTCACATGGAGATGATTTCCTTTATTAACCATGATTCCAGGGCTCGGGAGAACAGTGAGGTCGTTATAATTTACCCAGATCTTGATAGATTATTGATATCCTCATCTATTGATAGATTATCTGGTTGGTTGTTTTAACCATCTTGAAAAATATATTAGTCACTGGGAAAATAAAATATCCCATATATTATGGAAAATAAAATTCATGTTCCAAACCACCAACCAGTTTTTGATATTTGATATATTATTGATATCCTCGTATCATCTAGGGGATAGTTCCCATTTGATATCCTCATTGATATTTGAAATCTATCCATCTGGGTAAACTATAATATTTCACTAACCTGAAATAAGGCTCACATGGAGATGATTTCCTTTATTAACCATGATTCCAGGGCTCGGGAGAACAGTGAGGTCGTTATAATTTACCCAGATCTATTGATAGATTATTGATATCCTCATCTATTGATAGATTATCTGGTTGGTGGCTTTAACCATCTTGAAAAATATATTAGTCACTGGGAAAAAAGAATATCCCATATATTATGGAAAATAAAATTCATGTTCCAAACCACCAACCAGTTCATTGATATTTGATATATTATTGATATCCTCGTATCATCTAGGGGATAGTTCCCATTTGATATCCTCATTGATATTTGAAATCTATCCATCTGGGTAAACTATAATATTTCACTAACCTGAAATAAGGCTCACATGGAGATGATTTCCTTTATTAACCATGATTCCAGGGCTCGGGAGAACAGTGAGGTCGTTATAATTTACCCAGATCTTGATAGATTATTGATATCCTCATCTATTGATAGATTATCTGGTTGGTTGTTTTAACCATCTTGAAAAATATATTAGTCACTGGGAAAATAAAATATCCCATATATTATGGAAAATAAAATTCATGTTCCAAACCACCAACCAGTTTTTGATATTTGATATATTATTGATATCCTCGTATCATCTAGGGGATAGTTCCCATTTGATATCCTCATTGATATTTGAAATCTATCCATCTGGGTAAACTATAATATTTCACTAACCTGAAATAAGGCTCACATGGAGATGATTTCCTTTATTAACCATGATTCCAGGGCTCGGGAGAACAGTGAGGTCGTTATAATTTACCCAGATCTTGATAGATTATTGATATCCTCATCTATTGATAGATTATCTGGTTGGTTGTTTTAACCATCTTGAAAAATATATTAGTCACTGGGAAAATAAAATATCCCATATATTATGGAAAATAAAATTCATGTTCCAAACCACCAACCAGTTTTTGATATTTGATATATTATTGATATCCTCGTATCATCTAGGGGATAGTTCCCATTTGATATCCTCATTGATATTTGAAATCTATCCATCTGGGTAAATTATAATATTTCACTAACCTGAAATAAGGCTCACATGGAGATGATTTCCTTTATTAACCATGATTCCAGGGCTCGGGAGAACAGTGAGGTCGTTATAATTTACCCAGATCTTGATAGATTATTGATATCCTCATCTATTGATAGATTATCTGGTTGGTTGTTTTAACCATCTTGAAAAATATATTAGTCACTGGGAAAATAAAATATCCCATATATTATGGAAAATAAAATTCATCTTCCAAACCAGCAACCAGTCATTAATATTTGATAGATTATTGATATCCTTATATCATCTAGGGGATAGTTCCCATTGATATCCTCATTGATATTTGAAATCTATCCATCTGGGTAAACTATAATATTTCACTAACCTGAAAATAAAATATCCCATAAATTAGGTCACTGGAAAATCTATCAATGGGATATTTGAAATCTATCCATGGGATAATCCCCATCCCCACGATTCCAAGCGCGCCACGCAGGTAGAGCCGCAGCGCTCCGCAGCGGAAAGCTCCAAGCTGCGGCGCAGCTCCTCGTCCGCCTCAACAAAGGCCGCCTGAACAGCAAAACCCGGAAGAAACCACCGGAAAACCCAGGGAAAAAATGCGGAAATGGTGGAAAAAAGTCGGAAAAACTCTAGAAAGGAAAAATACAATGTTCACCCACCAAAATGATAGGTTTTGGGGGTTGAAGACCGCAAAAGTTGGTTTCGTGCAGCAAAAATTGAGATTTGGGGATTTAATCAGGAAAAACTCAATTTCAACCACCATTTTGTGTGAAACAAAAACACTTAGCCCACAAAACACAGGTGGCAATTTGCGGGTTAACTGTGATGCTTTTGTGTCTGGGAGGTATGCTTTGAAGGATTTCGGTTTGTGGGCACTATCCCATCTTTTGTGCAAAATCAGGAAATGACCTGGATGTTCCCAATAAACCACGGGAGCATTGTTCAAAACTCTGTGTCGTCCCTTTCGCTGCGCACGGTCTCGGGGTGACACCAACCGAAGTGAGCATCACACCGCTTTCAGTGAGATGAAAAAGATGACCAGAAAGTGTGCGGTGTCATGTCAGGTAGTTGTTAGACAATTCACCGATTGCAATATTCTCTAATTACGAATTTGGTCTGATCAACCCCCTCAAGCTGTTTCAGACCGGCTACGACTGGCTTTACGGCTTTGGTAGTATACCATTTGGTACCACCGCTGCCAATTGGTTGCACGGGCCTTTGGCATCAAGATTGCGTCAACTGGGTGAACTGACACATTAATGGGAGGTAATGAAAGATCCAAACCAAAGTTTGAAGTTGGGTTCATACGTCTCTTACATGGTTGTTTCAAGAAGTATTCGTTTAGAATCTTTCTTACCTCCATTGCATGCGGGAAAGCGGCACGGAAAGTCACTCCCGTGTTGGGAGAATTGACTGAATAACTCCTATGCAATCTGGTTTTCTTGGTACGGATGCCTGGTATGAGCTTCTCACCTGTGATCGATTCAAGCTGCAAGACTGCGGATGCAAATGCTTTTACTTCGTGTCCTAGTGTTGCATGTCTACTTAATTGAGGCAGAATGGAAGGTGATTGATACTCTTTTATTTTTGGGATGACAGGCACCGGTGTGTGTGTGTGTCGTCCCTTTGTTCTCGTTGGTTGAGAACAGGATTCTCCATTCATGGATTATGATATTCTCGAATTAAGATTATTATCATATTCATCAATGGTTATACCATATTCATGGATTATTATTATCATGGATTATTATTCATATTCATATTATCATATTCACAGATGTTGTATAGTCCCCTGTACCTATTCATCAACCAACAATGTGTCAATGATGTCTCTACAGGTTCGATCCTTAAAACCACATCAATTCAGCCCTATTTCTTTGATTGTGAACCTTTTCCATGAAAAGCTGTGGTCGATGAAACTGTGTAAGCCACATCTAATTAGATAGTGAAAAATCCCATGACCAAATCTCATTCATTGGGTAATCCCATTAAACTCCCATCAAAATCCTATTAAAATCCCATTGAACCAGCTGCTGACCCCGGTTTTTCTGCGCCTCCACCGCCTCCGCCAGCGCGGAGGCCACCGCCGACCCAGCATCGCCGATGGCGCCCATGGCTGTGGCCAAGGTCTTCGGTAGCAACGGGGGCAGCGCCTCGCTGATGGTGGCGCCTAGCGTATGGCACATGGCATGAGAGCAGATGTTTGGAAATACCTGTGAAATACCTTGGAGATTCATGGTCTGGCAAATTTTTGAGGCAGAAAAGACCTTGGAATCTTGGAAAATACTTTGGGAATCAGGTAAAATTGATTTAAAAAAATGGTGGTTTCACGGGATAATCATGGGACTTTTTTCTTAATATAATGAACAATCCCCACACCCCCATATTAAACACCCGAAAAAGAAACCATGTGGACGTCGGATAAAGCCACATATTATGAATGGGGGATGGGATTACTGTACCAACTGGAAACTGGGAAATTCTGGGAGAAACATCATCAAGCTAACATCTTGGATGTGTTTTGCTATGCCCCGAAAAGGTTGATGTACACGATATGGGCCAGGCTTTGTCTGAAAACACCAAATTCAGTGGTTCATCATAACTTTTCCAATGGCAATGTCAAGCTATACCCCATTTTCAACAGACACACAACTGAGTATTTTTAGCATCCAACGGAAAGCTCGACCCAATGAGCCATCTTTAGAGGAAGTCTTCCAACTCCCAACTTATGGCATGGTCGTCAATAATGATTAGCTGATGGTAAATCCATATGTTGTAATATGGTTGCATGAATTTGCCCCAAGGGTTGATACACGGTGTTAATCTACATGTAAATTAATTCAACGCTTGCTACGATATCAATGGAACCAAATATGGCCGAGATGAATGATGATATATGATGATATAACATATCACATCAGAAGTGATAACGATGATGGTAATGATCATAATGATGATTCCGTTCATCCTTTTAGAATTTCCAAACCAAGGAGAAAATGGAGAAACAGTTTGGGAAGTTATGATACTCTGGAAATGATGATCACATAGAAATTATGAGGAATTCGTATGCCAAAAATATATCCGCAATCTGTTTGGGATGATTCCCCAGACGCTAGGGAATCATCGATGGTGCTTGGAGAATCGCTATTTTATTTACCAAGACGATTTGTTTGGCACAAAATCGGTGTTTATCTATTTATACCTATCTATTTATACCTATCCATTTATACCTATCTATCCATACCTATCTATACCTATCTAAACCTATTTATACCTATCTATACCTATCTATACCGATTCTATACCTATCTATACCTATCTATACCTATCTATACCTATTTATACCAATCTATACCTATCTATCTATACCTATCTATACCTATCTATACCTATCGATCTATACCTATCTATCTATACCTATCTATCTATACCTATCTATCTCTATCTATCTATCTATCTATCTATCTCTATCTATTTATCTTTCGATCTATCTATCTATCTATCTATCGATCGATCTATCTATCTATCTATCTCTATCTATCTATCTATCTATCTATCGATCTATCGATCTATCGATCTATCGATCTATCGATCTATCGATCTATCGATCTATCGATCTATCGATCTATCGATCTATCGATCTATAACTCACTGATAACTCATATCTTGATATAACATGCTGTAAGTATATATATATACCCTCCACAAAAAAAAACAAAGGGTAGACGTGCCACCTCCATGTCCATCGCACACAGCGAAGAGGCCGGCGACACAACCAGAGGAGGCACCGCTCCAGTCTGCAGAGCAAATGGACCTCATTTTTGTTAGCCATCAATAGCCATTAATAGCCATTAAATTGGATATAATGGGATATAATGGGATATAGCCTCTGGTAAATTAACAGTTTGACCCTGGCAAATTAACATAGGTTGGAAGTTTTTTGTTTCAATTGAAACTGTGCTATTTTCAGGGTCTATGTTAATTTACCAGATGGTAACAGAAAAACTATGGATCCAAGGAATCCAAGCAACCCAAAAAAAAAGGAGATCTGATCATCACAAAAAAGAGATAGCAATAATGAGTCATGAGGAATTGCGACTACCTGCTGATTGTACCTGGTAACTGCCAAACTTTGGATATATGACACCCTCAACACAACTGGAGATCTAACCACCACATTGCTACAGTTTACCAATCAAGGTAGCATCCAACAAAACAGAATAGGATAGAATAAGTATCTGCTGTATAGATCACAATACATGTATTTTGAAATATGAATAGCCAACACCAAATTCTGCATCAAACAGGGGTCATAATAAAACGAAATCCCATGGTTTGAGTCCGCCACACATCCCGAAATGGACACTACGTAGTCACTACGAGCACTTTAGTATTGAAAATATGTCAAATCATCCCATAGCCTTGCCACTACTGTAATATACTGTAATTATCAAACTGCCAGAATTGTCGGAAAAATATCAGCCACAAATGAACCATGCCCAAAAGGCCAAAAGAGCATACCACAGTTGTCCAATGTTGTCAGTGGCTTCGCCATGATTCCCCCACTTCAACAGTCCGTGGGCACCACAGGTCTACTCATCCAGTACCCAGAATGATGATCAATCCAGCCCATTGGGGGCATAGCTGTGTAGCTGTTGTGAGGAGTTCCAAGTTAAATATCATGGGTGTGAGAGTTGAACATGTCCGCAGTTAAACTCAGTGATGTTCCCGGCATTTTAAATCGATAGCCAGCATTCTTTAGCTGGTTATATAATTCAAGTCATTTGTGTGTCTATTTCATTAGTATTGATTTATCCAAAGAATCAATTGGTATTTATTTGCACATATCCACATCTATGGTAGCTTCATGTTTCACCATGATGAGCCAGCAACACGGTACCAGTAGTGAGGTAAAATTCCCAACGGTCAACGCACCAAGTCGCGAGTCTTGGTTCGAGATCCTCGGTCCGTAGGCCGTGCAAAGCCCTGCATGCACATGCGCACTGGACGTGCCTGTCGCACTGCTGGGATAAGGACTGAGATTTAGCACATGATTGGTGAATTGGCCTTTAAAAATATGTATATGTATATATGTACATATGTATACATATGTATGCATGTGTATATATATATACATATGTATGTATGTATGTATGTACGTATGTATGTATGTATGTATGGATGCATGCATGCATGCATGCATGTATGTATGTAAATGTATATATATATGTATATATAGCCTCGTCCCAGGTCCTAGAACTGCGCAAACCCGAATTAGGTTGGTAAAACTTGTCAATTCCGTGACGAAATTTCGTCGCGGAATTGACAAGTTTCATTAGGGTCATCATCATCATCATCATCACATCATCATCACCATCATCATCATCATCACATCATCATCATCATCATCATCATCTGCAAGTTCACATGAACGTTAACATCCCACCCCACCCCCCACCCCACCCCGCGTGTGCGTACAATCAACTGCTTCTGCAAGTTCACATGAACGTTAACATCCCACCCCATCCCCCCACCCCATCGTATGTAGTTCCAGGACCTGGGACGAGCCTATATGTATGTATGTATATATATATATATATGGGTGATTATATGTGTATATATATATGATTATATATGCACATATCCCATTATTGCACCATTAAATGGAATGGTCACTAATCAACTACTTAATTAACCACTAATCATGTATCATTCATGATAGTTACCCTCCTGTAAACTTTTACAGTTCGATGTGGTTTTCCCACAATGAATGCAGATCCTTTTTCGAACAGGAAACCATGGGTTGTCCACATCTATTTTAGTATACCCCAGGGTGTATCCCAGAATGATGAATCATATGATTGGTACATGTGACCAGTAAATGTGATGTGTAAAGCAAATGTCAATGATGTCCACTCGCTAGGAGGTTACAATCCACTCGCTATCCACAGCTGCTGGCTGGTCTCATACCGAAAAATCTCGAGGTGTTCAATGATATTCAACGGCAGGTGGGATAGAAAATAATATCACAGAAATTAAAGCTGTTTGTATCCCCGGAGCATCCCACGTTCTATATTCCTATGTAATCCACGATTTCTTCGATGTCCCAGACTGGAAATAAGCCATTCCGGGATAATGTCCCCTATCCAAACCATAGTCTACCTAGACTGGCCATGGAGTTAATTGATTAGTTACTGGCTTATGACCCCTTAGCGCTGAGGTTACAACCAAACTAAGCAGCTTACTAACTCCATGGCTCAACAAAAAGTACGGAGCTATGTGTTTCTAATACTTATGTGTATATACATATATAATCATATACATATATATAATCATATATATATATTATCATATATATATAAGTATACAGTGTATATATATAATCATATATATCATATTATATCATATCGTATATTATCATATATAAGTATACACAGGGTCATTGGCTCTGCCAGAATAAGTGGTTGACTCCGACCTGGCCGAGTTATTTGGGGTGATGGACTCTGTCAAGTCCATCATATTCTTCATATTGGCTATATTATTCAACTATTAGAATCCTATTAATTCTATTAATTCTATTAACTATTAGAATCCTATGTTATTGATATTGATTCTATTTAACTATTAGAATCCCATGATAATCCCATGATGATCAATTCCATTATAATTTCATGAGGATCCCATTAAATATATAAACTATTAGAATCAGAATCCCATTAGAATCCCATCACAATCCCGTTAGAATCCCCTTAAACCACCATTTTTGCCCCGCCTGTGGTGCTCAACTGCAGCAGGTCGCTCAAGGCCGGCCGCGCCGCGCTTTCCGCGCGCCCGGAGCTCACGCTGACGCTGCAGCTCCTCGGGGTTTTTCGGCCAAGACTTGGGGTTGGGTCAACAAGGGCAAAGTAAATCAGACATGGAAAGGGTCCGGGTCACTTTATCCAAAAGATGTACTAAATTGTCAAACATTGGCATTTAATTCTTGAACATGGTGGAATTCACCATAAAGTGTTGGTATTTGACACTAATTACAACATGGTGGATTTATGATTTAAATGTAATTATATATCAAAAAAGCAGCATTTAAGCATAAAACATGTATGTATATATATATATGTATTATGTATATGCAAGCATCAAATTCTAGCATTTAGCCATCAAACACTATGGGTTTAAGCATCAAAATCAAAATACTTCCGCATGGGGCAAACTTGAAGCCACAGGGGCCACAGATCGGCCAGTCATTCTAAAGTAGTGAGTCACCCAACTTTGGCGTTATTCAATCTTGACCCATGCCCATACAGAAGGGTCCAAATGTAAACGCTTACAAATGATTCATCTCCCAGGTTCCATTGGTGTAGTGTTTCCACTCATCATTAATGATATGATGATATGCGTAAACCATGCGAATCTGACTGCAATATCACCCCATACTTAGTTGGCAAACACAAAAAACAAACATAGCGATATCCAAATATAGAATGAATATTACTCATCCAAACTCACGGTGACACAATAGGAAATATTGAATATTCGAAAAAGGAGACGCCAACAACAAATTTGAAAGTGAAAAGAATGTGCACATCTGAATATCACTCAAGTCACTCAAGCTTTGTTTCAATGTGTGTAAGTGGTTACTGTATCCAATGACCCGACATTAATTACTTGGATATATATATACATATATATATATTCCCACTCAAAAAATAAATGGTTTCCAACATGGTCATTACACACTTAAGTGGCTCCCAGACAGTGAATCTAGTTGCTTTTTGCGGCATGATCCCAGGTCCCCAGACTTGGTGAAATCCCAATCTCCCGATTTAGAAAATCCCGAGTCCCAGAATTGGAAGGGAAAAATTGGGAAAATCCAATTCGGACCCCCATTTTTTTGCTGTGAAAAAATCCCCATCTTTGATCGCTGAATCCAAAAATGTTGCTTCAACATGCTTCAAGCACCATTTCTTCATGATGTTGACATGTTTTTTGGACACTGGGAAAAAACCTTGTCAAAAATCATCAAAAAATCATCAAAAAATCTCCAGCTGGTTGGTGGTTTGAACCCCTCTGAAAAATATTAGTCAGTTGTTCACCTTATTCCCAAGATATGGAAATAAAATGTTCCAAACCACCAACCAGTCATTGATATTTGGTAGATTATTGATATCCTCATATCATAAGGGAACATCCCCACAAAATATGGTCTTATATGGTACAGTACCTCCATTTTAGGATCCTGAAATCAAAAAATATCCAGCATCTTGAACATAGTATACCACTATATACCATATACCACTATATACTATCTATCATGGACAACTATATACTATATGATCTATCATTTCTCCAAAAACCATGTATATATATATCATGGCATACTATATGGAGAAATGATATACCATATACCATTGGGGCAGCTATATGATATACACCACTATATACTATCTATCATGGATATATGGTAGATGATAGATAGTAATTATATAGTGATATATTTCCATATATCATATATCATATACCACTTATAGTGATATCATTTCTCCAAAAACCGCTGCCCCTTTTGCGTCGCTGTCCTCACCAACGGCGCCGATGGGTCAGCTCCCTGCGCTGTCGCCGCTGTCGCCGCTGTCGCCGCTGTCGCCTGCAGCGAGTCTGGAACCGCGGCGCTGGGCGCCAGCGCCACGCCATCTCCGTCCAGCCTTTTTTGGCGCCACCGGGCGCTGAAAAAGGTGTGTGATTTGATACCTACCAAGTGGTTGGAATATATTTATGTAATATATGTTCAAATAAAATCCAATTTGAAATATAAAAAATATATATATATAATATATGTCTTTGTTTTTGTTACCTGGTGTTTGAAAATCAAGTGTAATTAGCTTCAAAAATCGCCGCGGTCCCAGCGTCAACTTCACTGCACCAAAGATCCGCTGTAGCACGCAGAGCGCGTCCTGAGCGTGAACGTCCTGGAAAGCTGGCGAGTTTTTCCAGCGAACATGCTGGGTTTAGACCATTAAAGTGAGCTAATGTGCAAGAGTGAAACCTCCAATTTTGGGATGCTTTTTACAACCCATTTCTGGCAAGTCATTGGGGTAAGCCCCCTTCCATAGACGACTCCATTGACCAACCATGACTGGCGGCTATTACAAAGCATCCCACATAGAGGTATAGCCAATTTCATAAATCTTTAGTAAGGATGGTTTATTGTTGGGATTGCCACCTTAAGGTCTATGTTTTTGTGACTGATAGATTTCAAAGAATTGTGGGGTTAGAAATGGCAGAATACTTCCATTTTAGATGCCTCAACGAGCTATTGCCAAGCAGAAAGTACAAGACATGTTGGATCTGTTTTTGGCCATTGTGGGCGTCAATGGGCCTACACAGCCTGGCATTATTGAAGCGACCTAAAAATATGTGTATATATATATACATATTATATACACACATGGACATACGTCAAGACATTACATTACATTGCATCACATTGCATCACATCAGATCACATGAATCACCTCACAACACGTCGCGACACGTCACGTCACGTCAGATCACATCACGTCACATCAAATCACATATATATATATATATATATACATATATATATATGTGTATGTGCATAGATAAGTATAGTGTAATTGAATATATATATATATATACATACTTATATATATATACTTATATATATACTTATATATATATATATACTTATATATATATACTTATGTATATATATATATACTTATATATATATACTTATATATATACTATATATATATATCATAGTATATGTTTCACTCGATTAATATGACCATGTGGTATGGAGGAATTTCATTCTTTCCCTGTGACGGTAAGTCCCTTACGGGGCACCTGCTCGGTCCGCGGTCCTGTCCCACCCACATGGCATAGTCCTTTTCTTCATGCCTTGCAGCGCAGAACCGGTGCACCCCAGGGAAAAAGCACAGCTAAAGCTCGAAAGATGCTGCATTCATAGGACTAGACGGACTAGAATGGGATTATCATGGTTATATAATGTTGTATAATCGTCATTCTTTATTACTTAATGCTGATTAATAAATAATGGGATTATAACCATCATGGTGATTCATCATTAATCATGAATACTGATGATTAATGAGATTGATCAGAAAATAAATCACCAGGATAGTTTAACTCACCAAAATTGGTGGGATTAAATTAATGGGATTGGACCGGCCTGATGCTGATCTCCCTGAAGGGCGGCTCGCCCAACATCTCCGGAAGCAGCTCGCGCAGATCGGCCGGCGCGGGCTCGGCCATGGCGATGTGTGGCGAGGATGCAGCGCTTTGGCGAAGTCGTGTTTTTGACTGCTTTCAGCAACAAAAAATTGTGATTTAATTGAATTTACTGGTGATAGAATGGAAAACTGTAAACTTACCCTCTGGTAATTTAATAGTTCGCTATGGACAATGAGCCATTAATAGGTGAACTACCTCTTAAGATGATGATTTCCCATAACTGTCAAATTACCAGAGGCTACGGCTGGTTCTACCCAGTCATACTCTACGGCTTGGATCAGTTAATGTGCAAGTTGTTCAAGTGGATTAGTGTCTGGATCAACTATGGGTTGCAACCCAAGGCTTAGCAAGGAAGGAAGGAAGTAAGTAAATAACTAAATAATATTCACATATGTACGTCTGTCTGTAAGTAAGGAAGTAAGTAAGAAAGTAATTAAGTAGTTCAGCACATCAGTCAACTTGGTGCTTGTGGGAAAAATCAGGGACCATGTGCCACCCATCTTGTGAAGCCCCAATCGGTGGGACAAGTCTGTCGAGTTTGTGGAATTTCCATGGGCCAAAATGCGATGGCCAATTGATGCTGCCATCCTGTCGGTTCACGCAGCTAGGATGCAAGAGCATAATGTGTATGTGTATATATATATACACACATATGTTTCTATTATCATTTATATAAATGTTTCTAAATAGTGATATATCACACATTACGCTTGCAATAGTGAAATATCTATGTTTCTATTATCATTTATATATCTAGACATATTATTATACTGTTTGCATCTGGTGACTATACGTAGTGTATGTCAATGTTGGGTGTGTTAGATCCACAACCAAACACCGCAGGAGCCACAGGTGATGGGTGTATATCTCCGAATCAGGTGATACACGTGTATATACGTAGATATTTCTATATGATAAGGATATGTATTAATTATTGTTATTAGATATTATATTTACTATCATGATTATTGGATATCATTATATTACTATTATTACTATTATTACTATTTTACTATATTATACCTTATTATTTTTAGATATTACGACCAACAATTTTAACTTGGGAAATATCGGAAGGCTGCAGTTACCTCTTGTAATCCACCTACATTGGTACCTCTGCGGCGAAGTCATCTTGGTCTCAGGACTGGCAGTCCCTTTTTTTGAATGGGATTATATATATATATAAATATATATATCAACTGAAATCCAAAACTGGTTGGTGGTTTCAGCCCCTCTGAAAAATATGCTCGTCAGGTGGGATGATTATTCCCAATCTATGGATTTTTTTTCATTCATGTTCCAAGCCACCAACCAGAAAATATACTGATATATATATATATATATCTAGATATATGATTACCCTCTGGTAATTTAACGTAGCTATTGAAAATGGCCCATAGAAATAGTGGATTTTCCCATTAAAAATGGTGATTTTCCAGTTCGCTATGTTAGTTTACCAGAGGGTATCTTCAACAGTTTAAGACCCGTTTTGGTAGGTCGTATCCCGGTCGGGATCCGGACCAGTCCAGCACTTTGAGCTCGGGATGTTCTCCACCGAAGGCGTTCAACGAAGTCTGGGCCAAAATTGGTGAAACACCAACCCGATGTATTGCTAATGGAAAATGATCCTAATCGATTGGAAATCATGAACTAGAATATACATACATATATATATATATATAGATATGTATATATATATATATATTATACATGTATGTATGTATATAATATATATATATAATATACATGTATGTATATATATATATATAGGGGTACGGGGTATGGTGTATATACACCATTTTTTACACAAACCTACTGGGTCAGTTACAAGAAAAAGGGAGCATGTGGGGCCGGCTCGAATTCATTGGAGTCCCAAGCTTGGGCGGTTTGATCTGGACAGCGATGATTCAAGTTGAAGTGGGGCCAGGTGGCTTGGCCCAGAAATTGGGTCCCTAAAATTGCCATCTTTATATTGGTTTTCCGAGTATTCCGAATGGGAAAATGACGCGTCAGAGAAATCCAGATGCTCTCCGTCTGACATCTCTTAGGCGAAGACGATCAGCTCCAACGTGCGCTTGAAGGACATGTTCTTCTTTTCGCACACCTGGGTAAGGAACTTCTGAGCCGGGCATCCAAAAATCAATGGCTTGGTTTAAGGGGCAATTGAAACCGGAAATCATGGTTTTAAAGTGGGGGTCCTGTAAATTGTCCCATCATCCAATTCCTAGGACAAAATGGGGCGCCATTTTGAACTCCAAAAACGAGGAGCTTCACATCCCAAATCGTCGCTGTGTTAGGCTCTTTGCCATCTCTAAATCTCTCCAAAAATCTGAGCTTCCAATATTTCATGCCACAAACTATACAAAAAAACATGGAAAAAAAATGGTTGCCAAAGAATCCAAGGGAAACCTCATAATGCCCAAATCAGATGATGTAATTACCATGAAAATTTCATGTTAATTATCACTCACTACTTGGTGGTTTTTACCCAGATTTAGGTGTCAAAAAATATGTTACAAAACCAGCTATGGATGGAACCCTACCCGGCTCCAGGGTCAAGAACATTGGGCAGGGCGATGAGAATCTTCTTCTGCGCATCCAGGTGGTTGATCTGTGTGGTCACATCCGCTTTGGGGTGGGACCTCAGTGTAGAGACTGGAGGTTTCCTGAAATAGGGGTACCTTTTTTAATATGATTTTCCATGAAATAAACTATCCATTTTGGGCACCCCCATTTATGGAAACCCCAGATGTTCACATTGCACCAGGTTTCAGCTATGGTTTGATGATAGTTTTTGTCGGTTTTCGAACGAAAATCTCCTTGAAATCACAGAATGGTGAGGTTCCATGGTTTGATCGTTTTTTTTCTAAAAGAAACATCATTCTATTGAAAGGTGCTTGGTGATGTAACTGGATCGATTTGAAAGATACGCCCACAGGAAGCCCATTTTGCCAGACCAGACACCTAGGTCTGATATTCCGTTGCGATGATTCAAGCGTTTTCCAAGCTCAGGCTGCCCCCCCATCATTGAGTACCGGTGAAACCATGGGTTTACCCGATTATCCAAAACTGGCACACCTTAACATCCATGTTATGATACACTTCTTCCACGAAAAAAATGCTAGTGTCGGGTAAATTCACTTTTTTGGGGGGACAAAAATGATGAGAAACCAAAACAAACTAGGTAACTAGGTGGTTTTCCCCAAACTTTTCAGACAAACCCCCAATTTTTTGGAGGCCAAGCAGGCTTTAAAAAACAACGCTTCCAGGCCCTCCGAACGGTAGACTCAAACTCTTGAGAACCACCTGACGTTTTTCGGTTAAATTCAGCTGGTTATTCCATGGTGGATTTGACCAGGTATGAAAAACATACGGATTTTACTGATTTTACTGATTTTACCTGGTTGGTGGTTTCAACCATCTTGAAAAATATGTCTGGCAATGGGAAGGATGACATCCCATATATGAACTGGAAAATAATCCAAATGTTTGAAACCACCAACCAGTTACTCATGAATAGTGGCTATGGGTCTGAAATTGGGCTTACTGATTTTACCAGTGGCAATGAGATATGTATCGAAAATATCGAATTGATGAACTCTTGAACCATGGCTTTTTTGCAGGGTACCCCGTCTTCAGACGAACTCGGACTTTTGTTGCCGAGTTAAGTAACTTAGAACGCTTAGTACAAGGCGACAAAGGTACAATCCACCATAAGTTTGGGGGAAAAAATCTCAGAATATCGGGGGTAGAGTGAACCATTGTTTGGGAGATTACTCCTAAGGATTCCTAAGGGAGTTCTGCTAGCTGCTACCAATCCAAAAAAGAGAGATATTGCCTGCGTGGGTGTGTTCAGGCTTAAGAACCCAGTCATGCAACAGTCAATGCTCTCAGCATGGGCTATCCTGACAAATGGCAACCGGCCAACAACCAGTTGGTTCTTCGGATCATGAAGTTTCCCACTTCCATGTCCATCATCTTGATTTTCCTGAAACAGTTTTGGGAACGCAAATCGCAGCCCCCGCTTTTTGCAGCACAATTTTTTCGCGACCCCCAAACCGTTTGCTGCTTAGCACTGCTTGGTGATTCGAAAGTCTCCAAACAGAAATATTAGTCTTTGGCCATCATCATCATCATCATCATCATCATCTCAATTTCACAGGCCCTGAAACTTATCACTTATCGAATAGTTCAAACCACAAACCAGTTGGAGTGTCTCTTTCAAAGGTCGTTTCTCTGGTTGGATTTTTTTTCCCAACTGGACCCCCGCTGAAACGTGAAGACGTTTCAGGCACATCTAACAGCCTCACAAGTAGGGGCCTTCGCCCACTGCAGCCTAGTCTGCACTATCGATGGTCACCGTTTCTCAAAACAAAGATCCTACACTCTTTGCAGAGAAGCTTCAGATTCTTTGCTCGACGCAACATGATCATCATAGGCTTGTCTCAATTTTTTAGGGACCTATGACTATATGAACTATTATGAATTTCGGTAAATTCCCATTTTATTGCCATTATATCAAAGACCACATCACTATTTTAATCATCAACTGGTACTTCCCCACTTCCCTCGGGCACCTCAATGGTCTCCAAAGGAAGCCGTTCGATGTCCAACTGGCAAGGTGTTCCAAAGATCTTCCAACGAAAATCACCTTGTTAGTTCATATGTCTAGCATAACTCCCATGTTTAACTGATTTAGGAAATTTAATGATAATTTATGAATGTACAGTAATGTATCAACCAATATTGAAACGCAAACATAGATAAGAAAGTGTTACACATATGTATATATATATATACTACTTACACACTACGTGTATGTATACATAGTATATATAAGTATCACCAATAATTCCTTATATGTAGAACAACTTTCTCGATAGCTTACTGTTACTCAACATGGATATGGTAATTTCCTGGGGGTTTCCCCACAGGTTTTACTTATTGATGACATGGTCATGACCAATCATACCATTCATAAGCATTAAGGGATAAGATGTTTTGTATACAACCCCCCAACAAGATGCTGAAAAGGTTCACTTTATCACTACTTTAGGTCTTCTTTCGGGTTGCTTTCTATCAAGCCCATGAAAACACTTTGGAGACAAAAACAAACCTATCCATTAATTGATTAGATATGATATGTCCTATGTCCTATGTCTGCCTTCATTTGGATAATATTTTTGAATAACATTATATATATAATATAATATATATAATACCTAATATGTAATATAATATAATACAATACAATACAATATAATACAATACAATACAATATAATATAATGTAATATAATATAATGTAATATAATATAATGTAATATAATATAATACAATACAATATAATATAATATAATGTAATATAATATAATACAATACAATACAAGTCAATACAATATAATATTATATAATCTAATGTAATATAATACAATACAATACAATACAATAAAATACAATATAATATAATGTAATATAATAGAATGTAATATAATATAATGTACTATAATATAATGTAATATAATACAATAAAATACAATATAATATAATATGATACAATACAATAAAATACAATAAAATATAATATAATGTAATATAATATAATACAATACAATACAATATATACAATACAAAACAATACAATACAATAAAATACAATATAATATAATATAATACAGTACAATACAATACAATATATACAATACAATAAAATACAATACAATAAAATACAATACAATAAAATACAATATAATAATATAATGTAATATAATACAATATAATATAATATAATGTAATAAAATACAATACAGTAAAATACAATACAATATAATATAATATAATGTAATATAATACAATATAATATAATGTAATATAATACAATACAATACAATTTAATATAATGTAATATAATATAATGTAATATAATACAATACAATAAAATACAATACAATACAATTTAATATAATGTAATATAATATAATATAATGTAATATAATACAATACAATAAAATACAATACAATACAAGATAATATAATGTAATATAATATAATATAATGTAATATAATACAATACAATAAAATACAATACAATACAATATAATGTATATAATATAATATAATATAGTATAATATAATGTAATATAATACAATACAATATATACAATACAATACAATATAATATAATGTAATATAATATAATGTAATATAATAATATAATGTAATATAATACAATACAATACAATACAATATATACAATACAATAAAATACAATACAATACAACACAATATAATATAATACAATATAATATAATACAATATAATATAATGTAATATAATATAATATATATATATTATATATATTATAAATATATATAACCAATTAGATATGATTATTTCAGATATCCCATCATATCCTTCTTAGATATGATATCTCCACATCTCCACATCTCGTCCCATCCTCGTAGGAAGCCGAGATGGCGGCACCCACCTGGCACGTCGTGACGTCGTAACGTCGCCATGGAAAACCGTGCGAAGATCATAGGAAAACCATAGGAAAATGGTGGTTTTAACCCTGGTTGGTTGATGATTATAGTCATTTCATATGGTTTTAACCATCAAAATGTAGGGAAATCCGCCGACCCCGGCCGACGCAAGGGGGAGCGCGTAAGGGAAAAAGAGGTACTGCACTGCTATTACTACTACTACTACGACGACGACTACTACTACGACTACTACTACGACTTGGTGGCTTCTTCGTCCTTCACTGCCATGCTGTAAATTGAAGAGCTAGTTGAAGAGCTAGTTCTCTAGGATTTCAGAAGGGACGTTAGGGAGTTTTTTGGTGCGATTTGGTGGCTTCTTCGTCCTTCACTGCCATGGTGTTTCAGGCTGGCGGGTCCGGCGTTTTGGCGGCTCAGAAGCTGTAAGTTGAAGAGCTAGTTGAAGAGCTAGTTCTCTAGGATTTCAGAAGGGACGTTAGGGAGTTTTTTGGTGCGATTTGGTGGCTTCTCTTCATCCTTCACTGCCATGGTGTTTCAGGCTGGCGGGTCCGGCGTTTTGGCGGCTCAGAAGCTGTAAGTTGAAGAGCTAGTTGAAGAGCTAGTTCTCTAGGATTTCAGAAGGGAGTTAGGGAGTTTTTTGGTGCGATTTGGTGGCTTCTTCGTCCTTCACTGCCATGGTGTTTCAGGCTGGTGGGTCCGGCGTTTTGGCGGCTCAGAAGCTGTAGTTGAAGAGTTGAAGAGCTAGTTCTCTAGGATTTCAGAAGGACGTTAGGGAGTTTTTGGTGCGATTTGGTGGCTTCTTCGTCCTTCACTGCCATGGTGTTTCAGGCTGGCGGGTCCGGCGTTTGGCGGCTCAGAAGCTGTAAGTTGAAGAGCTAGTTGAAGAGCTAGTTCTCTAGGATTTCAGAAGGGACGTTAGGGAGTTTTTTGATGCGATTTGGTGACTTCTTCGTCCTTCACTGCCATGGTGTTTCAGGCTGGCGGGTCCGGCGTTTTGGCGGCTCAGAAGCTGTAAGTTGAAGAGCTAGTTGAAGAGCTAGTTCTCTAGGATTTCAGAAGGGACGTTAGGGAGTTTTTTGGTGCGATTTGGTGACTTCTTCGTCCTTCACTGCCATGGTGTTTCAGGCTGGCGGGTCCGACGTTTTGGCGGCTCAGAAGCTGTAAGTTGAAGACGAAGAGGTAGTTGAAGCGCTAGGTCTCTAGGATTTCAGAAGGGACGTTAGGGAGTTTTTTTGGTGCGATTTGGTGGCTTCTTCGTCCTCCACTGCCATGGTGTTTCAGGTTGCCGGGTCCGGCGTTTTAGCGGGTCAGAAGCTGTAAGTTGAAGAGCTAGTTGAAGAGCTAGTTCTCTAGGATTTCAGAAGGGACGTTAGGGAGTTTTTTGGTGCGATTTGGTGACTTCTTCGTCCTTCACTGCCATGGTGTTTCAGGCTGGCGGGTCCGGCGTTTTGGCGGCTCAGAAGACAGGCACGTCAGGGAGCTCAGTGTTTTGGCGGCTCAGAAGGTGTAAGTTGAAGAGCTAGTTGAAGAGCTAGTTCTCTAGGATTTCAGAAGGGACGTTAGGGAGTTTTTTGGTGCGATTTGGTGGCTTCTTCGTCCTTCACTGCCATGGTGTTTCAGGCTGGCGGGTCCGGCGTTTTGGCGGCTCAGAAGCTGTAAGTTGAAGAGCTAGTTGAAGAGCTAGTTCTCTAGGATTTCAGAAGGGACGTTAGGGAGTTTTTTGGTGCGATTTGGTGGCTTCTTCGTCCTTCACTGCCATGGTGTTTCAGGCTGGCGGGTCCGGCGTTTTGGCGGCTCAGAAGCTGTAAGTTGAAGAGCTAGTTGAAGAGCTAGTTCGCTAGGATTTCAGAAGGGACGTTAGGGAGTTTTTTGGTGCGATTTGGTGGCTTCTTCGTCCTTCACTGCCATGGTGTTTCAGGCTGGCGGGTCCGGCGTTTTGGCGGCTCAGAAGCTGTAAGTTGAAGAGCTAGTTGAAGAGCTAGTTCTCTAGGATTTCAGAAGGGACGTTAGGGAGTTTTTTGGTGCGATTTGGTGGCTTCTTCGTCCTTCACTGCCATGGTGTTTCAGGCTGGCGGGTCCGGCGTTTTGGCGGCTCAGAAGCTGTAAGTTGAAGAGCTAGTTGAAGAGCTAGTTCTCTAGGATTTCAGAAGGGATGTTAGGGAGTTTTTTGGTGCGATTTGGTGGCTTCTTCGTCCTTCACTGCCATGGTGTTTCAGGCTGGCGGGTCCGGCGTTTTGGCGGCTCAGAAGCTGTAAGTTGAAGAGCTAGTTGAAGAGCTAGTTCGCTAGGATTTCAGAAGGGACGTTAGGGAGTTTTTTGGTGCGATTTGGTGGCTTCTTCGTCCTTCACTGCCATGGTGTTTCAGGCTGGCGGGTCCGGCGTTTTGGCGGCTCAGAAGCTGTAAGTTGAAGAGCTAGTTGAAGAGCTAGTCTCTAGGATTTCAGAAGGGACGTTAGGGAGTTTTTTGGTGCGATTTGGTGCTTCTTCGTCCTTCACTGCCATGGTGTTTCAGGCTGGCGGGTCCGGCGTTTGGCGGCTCAGAAGCTGTAAGTTGAAGAGCTAGTTGAAGAGCTAGTTCTCTAGGATTTCAGAAGGGACGTTAAGGAGTTTTTTGGTGCGATTTGGTGACTTCTTCGTTCGTCCTTCACTGCCATGGTGTTTCAGGCTGGCGGGTCCGGCGTATTGGCGGCTCAGAAGGCAGGCACGTCAGGGAGCTCAGTGTTTTGGCGGCTCAGAAGCTGTAAGTTGAAGAGCTAGTTGAAGAGCTAGTTCTCTAGGATTTCAGAAAGGACGTTAGGGAGTTTTTCGGTGCGATTTGGTGACTTCTTCGTCCTTCACTGCCATGGTGTTTCAGGCTGGCGGGTCCGGCGTTTTGGTTGCTCAGAAGCTGTAAGTTGAAGAGCTAGTTGAAGAGCTAGTTCTCTAGGATTTCAGACGGGACGATTTGGTGGCTTCTTCGTCCTTCACTGCCATGGTGTTTCAGGCTGGCGGGTCCGGCGTTTTGGCGTCTCAGAAGGGAACACATCAGGGAGCTCAGTGTTTTGGCGGCTCAGAAGCTGTAAGTTGAAGAGCTAGTTGAAGAGCTAGTTCTCTAGGATTTCAGAAGGGACGTTAGGGAGTTTTTTGGTGCGATTTGGTGGCCTCTTCGTCCTTCACTGCCATGGTGTTTCAGGCTGGCGGGTCCGGCGTTTTGGCGGCTCAGAAGGTGTAAGTTGAAGAGCTAGTCTTAGTTGAAGAGATAGTTCGCTAGGATTTCAGAAGGGACGTTAGGGAGTTTTTTGGTGCGATTTGGTGGCTTCTTCGTCCTTCACTGCCATGGTGTTTCAGGCTGGCGGGTCCGGCGTATTGGCGGCTCAGAAGCTGTGAGTTGAAGAGCTAGTTAAAGAGCTAGTTCTCTAGGATTTCAGAAGGGACGTTAGGGAGTTTTTTGGTGCGATTTGGTAGCTTGCAGAAGCAGTACAAGATGTCGCATATTTTAATTCAAATATATCAAATATATTTCATAAAAATCTACGTATGAAAAAGAAGAAAGCGTGAAAGTGCGAAGCACCGAAGAATATCTATGCCCATTTGGTTTGCTTACTTGACCATTCTTCCGGGGTCGGCGGCAGGGGCGGCAGCCCCTTAATCAGTGGATATAACATGATATTACTGATAAATGATGATGATGATACCCTCTGGTAAACTAACATAGCGAACTGGAAAATCACCATCTTTAATAGGTAAATCAACTATTACTGTGGGCCATTTTCAATAGCTATGCAACAAATTACCAGAGGGTAATGATAAGAATCGGTGATCTCATCTATGACCCAAATAATCCCAAATAATCCCAAATATATCTATGTATGATCATACATGATTCAATATCTGTGATTCACCATGAATCTAAAATGTCTCTAAATTGCGTAACCCTAAACCGAACGCTTGGCTGACTGCCTCAGCAACGCTCCGTGCACGCCGCAGCAGTTGTGCCATCTGCTCGTGCTTCGAACGCAATCGCACCTGGCAATCCCCACTGGATCCACTACCATTTGGGGTGTTACCAGCCACTTAAGTGGTTTATTGGGCGACTCCCACATGAATACGGAATGTGAACGCAACTGCGACTTCCGAAACCACACCCCAAGGCCCCCAAGGGGCCCCAAGGTTTCACGGGCACCTCTGCTCTCTTTGCATCGTAGTCCCACCTCATAGTGAAGGAAGAGTAGTGCTCCCCAATGGAGAAGACTGTTACTTCATGATTGCATGTTCAAGAGAAATTAGGATTTATGTCAAACAATGCATGAGAATGCCGTCGTCATCATCATGATCATCATCTCCATCTTAATCTTCACTTCATTATCTCACCCTGCATCGCCTTAATCTCCGTTCATCATCTGCATGTCGATCTTCATGCCAAGAATATGCATCTCAAGCTTCATCTCCACAATAATCCCTTACCTTAATAGAAAACCCTCCAAACGAAACCGAAGTTGAGATTTTCTTCTTTCCTGGTTCCCAGAAACTTGGGGGTATAAATAAACAAACAAACAAACAAACAAATAAAAAATTACATATATATATATATATTATGAATATAAATATTAATATAATACAATATAATATAAATAAATATAATACAATATAATATAATATAATATAATATGATATGATATGATATGTTACAATATAACTAATATAATATGACTAATATATAATATAATAATAAATATATACATTATATTATATTATATTATATTATATTATATTATAATTATATTATATTATATTATATTATATTATATCATATATCATATTATGTATATTATATTATATCATATTATATCATATATCATATTATGTTATATTATGTTATGTTATGTTATGTTAGTTTATGTTATGTTATATTCTATCATATTATATCATATTTCATATTTCATATTATGTCATATATTATATTATATCATATTATATTATATTATATCATATTATGTCATATTATGTTATATTATGTTTTGTTATGTTAGTTTATATTATATTATATTCTATCATATTATATCATATTTCATAATTCATATTTCATATTATATCATATATTATATTATATGATATGATGGGATGGGATTCATGTTCTCCGTGCCAGTATTCATCTCCATAAGCTTCACCTTCCTCGTCTTCGTCACCTTGCCCTGGGCCCCAACTCATTGGCTCTGGTGCCAAAGAAGAGCTCAAAGTCCTCGCCGGGCGTTTCGGCATCTCGCACACTAGGGAGTACCCTCTGGTAAACATACAAAAAACTATGGGAAATCACCATTTTATAGCTGGGTAAATCAACTATAAATGGCAATTTTCAATAGCTATGTTAGTTTACCAGAGGGTACTTTGGGACTTCCTACCAGGAATAATTGAGGAGCCGGTTTTCAGACAAACATATAATACATCAAATCATCACAGTTTTTGGTATCATTCTGTGTGGCCAAGATCAGCCAAGATCCCAAAACCTTGATGGTGACCCGAAAAATCGGTCTTCGGCGTCCCACTTCGGCCCATGGTCGGCTGGGGCTTTTCTTGAAGAATGCTGGGGGAAACAAATCTTCAGACAGCTGGCAGTTTCTGCTTCCTGCCATCTTCAGATTCTTAGCAGCGTCCAAACTGAGTTCCTGAGAACGATCTTCAATTGCCACGAGCCATGCTAAGATTTCCGAAAACATACCGCAGCTCGGTGTGGAGGGGCACCAGAATTTCCATCCGTTCCTCATCGGCCCAGATCGGCTTTTTCTGCACCTAGCAGCGGTGTAGCTTGGAGCCAGGATAGTCCATGGGATCCCAATTATACCCCTGAGAAAGCCTGGTGGAATGTATTGGGTCCGTATGAAATCCAGATCCTTCGCCTGGCATGACATCACCATCCACTTCCCAGATTGAGAGCTGGGGAGTACATTCCCCCAGTCATGACCGGGGGGAAAAAAACACACTGTCAACCTAGTTGGATGCATCCCACTTAGTAAATGGGCAGTGAAATGTCTATTTGGGTCATTTTTTGGGGTTATAAACCATTATAAACCATGTATATCTGGCTCATGTATGAGTCATGTATGGCTTGATCCACCACTTGAAACAAGGGGGATGCACATCCACCCCGTCACCAGGAGCCCCCTGCGTTCTCGAAGTACAGCCGGACATTCTTGTCCTGTCCTTAGGAATCTTCTCTGAGAACTGGGGGATTTGATGAACAGCAAATGATGATGAACATATTCATCCCAATTTATCATATTAACAGATTCAAAGAAAAGTTATGATGAAGAAATTATGTTTAAGCATGGAATTTAGGGCTCCCCTATTTTGGACAAACCCAAATGCGTGTGATAGTGGTTGGAAAAATGTTTAACGTAACCCTGGGGAAAAAGATGCAAAGAAGTTCAACCCGGAAGCCGCCGACAGCTTCACTAGGATAGGAGTTGTATAGGAGAATGCAGGAGATTTCTACAGGACCAGACAGGTCATCAGATTGGTACAGTACATAGGTACAGTATGTATTGAAATTTCGGGCACAGCTCCGGGCGTCCAAAGCTCAAGCGGTTTTGGAACAACCTCTGGTTGTTTTCTTCCCAGCAAAGGATTCATACATATATATATGTGTATGTATGTATGTATGTATGTATGTATGTATGTATGTATGTATGTATGTATGTATGTATGTATGTATGTATGTATGTATGTATGTATGTATGTATGTATGTATGTATGTATGTATGTATGTATGTATGTATGTATGTATGTATGTATGTATGTATGTATGTATGTATGTATGTATGTATGTATGTATGTATGTATGTATGTATGTATGTATGTATGTATGTATGTATGTATGTATGTATGTATGTATGTATGTATGTATGTATGTATGTATGTATGTATGTATGTATGTATGTATGTATGTATGTATGTATGTATGTATGTATGTATGTATATATGTGTATGTATGTATATATATATATGTGTATATATATATATGTGTATGTATGTATATATATATATGCGTATGTATGTACTGTATACATATATATATATTATTATTATTAATTATTATTATTAATAATTATTATATATTAATATTATTATTATTGTTATTATTTTTATATTATTATTATTATCATTGTTGTCATTATTATCATTATTATCATTATTATTATATAAATATATAGGTCGTTGTTTGATCATCCTAGGTATGCAAAGAAGAAATGGTTGTGTCTGAAAATGGTGTATAACCCCAAGTTATCCATTTTAGTGGGGAAAATGATGATAATTCACTGGGCATCCCGAACGAAGGTCGTCCAATGATACCTCGCGAGCCGGTCGCGACCCTGAAGGACCCCAGCCACGTATGAGACCAAGCAGTGGTGAATAGACCCCCTGGTAATATGGGTTTTGACCCATCCCCAATTAGCTTTGGGAGGTGAAGAGAATTCAAGTCAATCGAAAATGGTAGTAATCAAAAGGGGAACACTCTGCTTGTCTGTGGGAAACAGGCTCTTGCAAAGATGCTGCGACAGGCTGACAAACCTAGCGCGTCAACCTGCCGCTTCTTAGTCAGCCTGGCTATAGTCTTCCGCGAGAAGTACGCTGAGAATCAGTGGGTGTAGCATCGATTAGCTTCCACGACCATTCCTTGTCTGCTCTATTTGAACCAACCACGAAATCAAAAATCACATAAATAGTGTTCATTGTGGTCATTGGCCGTTTCCTCAGTCCTCAATTGCTTTGAGTAGTGTATCAGGAGTCTCGACTCCGTCTCCATAAACCCTGGCTGATCCAGCTAAGTTTAGTGGGTCCCCTGCCCAAAAGGTACAATCCAGACATTAAGTGGGCTGCCCTGCCAATAAAGCCGAAAGTGTCTTAATTCGACATATAAGCTAGTCGTGGGGATACGTAGTGGGTTTGGGGCCGTCCCCATGTATCTCATGTGTACCTTCTACTTAACGATGGAAAATGCATGAAATGTCCCGTACCATATGATAGGAACATATTGAAAAAAATACAAGTGGGTGATTTCCCATTGTCATGTTTCGTTGCGTGAGGGTAGATCTATGTACATAGATCCCTAAATACCACAACAAATTGTTGGTAAATGTACCAGTAAATGATGCGTTTGTTTAAAGCTAATCCCAACAGGATGTGAATGTTCATCTATGTTCATCTGTTATTTGGATATGGCCTGGCTAAAAAATGGGATACCTCTAAAATTGGATGCTTAAAAGTCACGTTTTGATACTGAAGAATCACCCAAATCTATGCTTCCCAGGCCCTTTCCGAGTTTGGCTCTCCATATTCTTACTCATTCAATCGACCATTCACTCCAATCAGTCGTTGCTGTTCAAATAATCCCATCCTAATATTAAACACCCCCATTCTAGGGTTGCAATGGAATGTGGAAATTCCCACCAAAAAACCATGGTTTCGTTGAACGGGGGTGTTGAATATTAGAATGGGATGGGATTCATGAAAATGACCCCAATGAATGAAAAATCCACCAGCCCCGAGGTCTCTACGGACTTGTGCTGGCCACCCAGTTTCGTCACAGCAGGCGTCAGCACCTCGGCGTCCCCCCAGGGTGGCTATCAGTTACCTATGAGCTGGGACAACCCCAGTAGAAACTAGGATATTGATATTCACATGAGCAGTGTGAAAAAAAAATAACGCAACATCATTCCATTGTAGTGGTTGGTTCAGAACGGATGCCCAGTTCATGGATGATAAAATAATCCTCACTACATTGGGTAGTTTTTCACAACTCCCTATCATTATCAACCAACTTCGTTTTTCGAACTGCTTGAATATGTATTCCAGTTGGAAAAGGATCAATTCACCCCATCCATGCTCTTTCTTCATAGTTACCTTCGACATTCGAAATCTTCTTGGCTGACTACCATAAACCCTAGTTACTATAGATGGACAATCAACCGTTTGGTTTTTTTCGAGGATTAAGTTTCATTACCCCTCAATGAACTTTATTGAATAATCATGCTTATCATCTTTTAGGAATTATCTAGTCTTGGGATGTCTTGGGCTTTACCTATCCGCTAAAAGCTTCAACATTTATTGGGATAAATAGTAAACATACCCGTTTTCCAAAAACGCTGAACATCAAGATCTGCGTACAAGCTAAGTTGGTCTACCTGCCAATCGCTAAGTGTTGAAATGTCATGAGATGAATTTGGCCTTTTTCGTTGGATGAAGATTGTAAACTATCATTAATATGTGTTCACCCACCAAAGATGGAGAGGTTGAATGGCCCCAATCCATCCAGACAAAAAAAGTGACCCCGAAAGGGGCCGGAGCCTCTTCTACGGTGATGTATTGGAACATCTTGGCATAATCCACCAGCCTTGGGAGCGATAAATTAGAAAATAATAAGGATGTAATGATGGAATAATGAAAATATCTCTGAAATATAATGAGACATATTAGCCACAAATATGATATGTGGCTGTGTCTAAACTGTACATGCTCCCCATTTTGGGCAAGTTCCTTCAGGGAAAATGATGATAAACCAATGAAGTCAACGGTACCCTATTTTCAGACAATACATGATGTCTGGTTAAGGGCTGGTGTGGTTTTCCTACGATAATACAGGTCATTAAAATGACAGGGAGTAGCTAGGAGCTGTGTTGGGATTTACTAGCGATTCAACTGCTTGTCTGCCAAAGGTTGGAAACAACATTTTAAAAAATGGTTCAGAAAATCCTTTACCCATTCAAAAAAAAAACGTGCGAGGTAGAGTATCCCCCATTTTTAACCAGCCCAAAGGATGTCTGGTTTTTTGGGTTCTTATTTCGCCCATTTTGTGATGCTGGTGAGTCATCTCATGATCAATGATAAGTTGGGATGATGATTATTCCCAACTGAATGGAAAGTCATAAAATTCCATGGTTCCAGTCACCACCAACCAGTCATTGATCATTGATCATTGATCATTGATTCTCCCAGGAAAGAAACCAGCAATTGCCCTCAAATGGGATGTCGTTTTTTCGGTGACCGGTCCACCTTGATGGCTGGCCCCAAAAACTGGGCCCTCTCCATGAAATGGCCCCAAGTTTTTAGATGCTACCACGACTCGACCCATCGCCCAACCATGGGGATTTCTCCAGGAAATGGGCCTCTCGTCTCTAACCATTCAGAATACCCTCTGGTAAACTAACATAACTATGGAAAATCACCATGCTTAATGGGAAAATCCACTATAAATGGCAATTTTCAATAGCTATGTTAAATTACCAGAGGGTATATCTAGAAAATATGAAGTTTCTGGGCAAATTATACTAAATCCCAAAGCTGGCTTCCAGCAAATTGAACCATCAGCTGGGGTTGGGTCGCAGCGCCGTACAAAATATCTATGGCTTTGTCCAGGCATAGGGTACCCCAAAATTCGCTTGCTTCTCACCAATTCCCCACAAAAACTGGCAATTTGGGTGTGAAAATGAGATCAAAATGCACCAAGCCACATGAAATCAATGGCAGTCTTCTCTTCGACAGTGCCTCCCACCACCTGCCGAGAAAGCCAGGACTGCAGATCTATCAGATCAGGACTTGACCCTGACTGAGAAGCACCCATGTTTTGGGCTAGTCTTCCAACCTCATGTTTGCCAGGGTCATAATCCGAGTCTAGATTATCTTTTGGGAATGGTATAATATATATATATACGTATAATTCAATTCCAATGCATCGACAAAAAATGAGGAAACCCATTAGTTTCCCACAAAAACGATGACCTCAGTCCTGCCCCCACGCCCGGCTCACTCGAAGATGCGTCGGTGGGAAGAAGGCTAAGTAGTGGCCCGGATAGGCGTAACACTCGAAGCGGAAGGCTCCCTGCGCAGGACGCTCGGAGGATTGTCATGAGAAAAGTCACGTAAAAAATAGATTTGAAAAAGAAATGCAAATGATCCCATCTTCTAGTACGTATGTTAAATAGCAATTATCAACCACTCATAAGGATTCATGTTTTATACCACCCATTTATGGCAAATTTGTGGATGGTTTACTGCGTTGATGTCACATTATGACGTCATTATGGTAATGAACGATTGGATGATCAAACCTCGCGTGGCGATGAGTCATAGATATCATAGGACCTAATCGGTGGTTTTCAGGCCACGAGGTGTCCATACTTTTTGCCAGCTGTAAAGGTCCGTGCGCCACGCAGACGAAGGCTGGTAACTAGTGCATGTCATAGCAACTGCGGCACTCACCGCCATAGTAACTGCTGCCGCGGTTGCCGCATCCATGGATGCACTCGTCCCACTCTCCAGTAGCCGGTCGGGTGTGGTCCAAATCGTACAAGTCATCATCCAGCTCGTAGTCAGAGTAACCATCAAAGAGTTCATCTTCTTCCTCCTCCTCACTAGACAGAGGCTGGTAGAGCACCGCATAGATTTCTGCTCCATGCTGCAAACCAGCCTCTGCCAGTTTTTGTCCATCCGGGATGACCCCGCCTCCAACATGAACCAACTTTTCAAGACGCCCATCAGCTTGGACCCTCGACAGTTCCTGGTTCACCGCTGCTCTCACATCCGTGGTGGTCCATGTGGCCGGACAGGTCAGATGCAGCAGCTCCCCTCCAGCAATGTAGAGGATTCGTAACGAGATCGACTTGGAGACATCCTTTGGTTCCTTTTTGGTTTGTTTTTTGGGCGCAGCCTGGGGCTTCTTCTTTGGAAGCTGCTTCGCAGAAGCTGAAGGCTTTTTGATCTTTGCAACGGCAGCTTTCTTGGCTCCTGAGGCTTTGGGAGCTAAAGGCGTCTTAGCTGCAGGACGTTTCATGGCGCCGATGCTTGAGCGCTGTCACCAATCGGTGATCATAGAATCATAGCTGGTCAGGAAAGGTGGAAGCTGGGACATCAAAAACATAGCAATAAACTATACATTACACCTGAAAAGTAAAAATGACAATAATGGAAAATATAATGCTACTATGAAAATAAGAATAACAATAATAAGTCATAATTCATCAAGTTAATAATGATAAACGGGTCCAAGTTCAGCTACGAGAGCAATCAATATCCATTAAATGGAGTTTCATAAACCGAGATTTGTTTCTGACATCCCGCTTCTTGTTGGCTCATGATCTCTTCAGCAGCATTGTTCATTCATTGAATTCCCACTTTCAACACGGGTTACCTTCGCTATATAATGTCATAGAAGAAGTTTATAGCAGCAGATGATTACAACGCTGTTGTGGTATCAGTAGAAGGCACTTCCAAACAGTGTATCCCACCTGCAGAAGACCGAAGGAAAAAAAAAGCCCGAGCGCCTTGAAAACATCACTGGCCACGGCGATGAAATGGGCCTCAGACTCTGCAGTGGAGTCTTAGCTTCAAAAAAGATGGTGCTGCCAAAACTCCCAAACTCGTGAAATGGCTGGATTCCGGAACTCATGAGATTCCTTTTTCATGACTTCACAAATTTCAATAAATTTCACATTTCGCTAGCTTTCAAGCTACGAGTTTTTCCCAACAATCCTTGACCCAGCGATGCATCGCGGCCAGGTGATCTCCTCTACCCGTGGCAGGTGAACTCCTCAGCACCTAAAAAATGGTGGCCAGGTGACGCTTTCGGCCATCTGGCCTGGGCTCAAAATCACCTCAGCGCGATCCAGCTGGGAAGCCTGGGTTTGGTGTGTCCCCCATTCCGAATGGATTCTCCCGGTAGAAAATTTAGGTGGGTGAAGCAACACCAGAACTACTAACATTCAGTGAACTGACACCAAAAGTTCCCAATCATAAAGTGGCTGACCAGTGAACCAAACACCAGTTACTAATACCAGTTATTAGTCATGACCCAACCATAAAGTGGGTGACTATGACTAATAACTGGATCCTCCAAGCTTGATTCACGAAGGGGACCCACAAAATTTCGAGAGATAAGTTATGCCAACAGTTGACGCACATAACAACCTTGGAAAAGTGTTGGGGTTACGGGGGCTACAACGAAAAAGTGAATGGGGGTTATACACCCAGTGCCTGAATTTATGTAATTTGGAGCCCAACAAACAGTCGGTCTGAAGTGTTTGATTTTTAGCTGATTTTGCAAGTTGTGTGCTTTCCAAATTAGACTTGGGGAGTGAAAATCCACCATTGTGTTGGTTAGTTCTTTTTCGATCCCCATTTTTTGATGGCTCGGTGCTTAATTGTTTATCAGATGACTTGGATGTGCGGGACACGGTCGGTTTAAAGGCACTGCCTAGCTGCGATGGCCAAGTATATGGGCTCGTGTCGTTATGGATATTGGGCCAAAGGTGAGTACTGTAAATCCTGGCTGGTTGACACTCCAAATGATCACAAATTGGAGTAGGTAATTTTGTTGTTCTCTGGCTGGTGGATCACTAATCATTCATAATGCATGTGGGTCGAGGTAAGCCTCAGGTTTGTTGGTGGTTAGTTTCAACAAAACATGGTGGGCTGGTCATCTTGAGCATTCAACCAGACCAATTTTCGGGGCGCTAGATTGTTTTTGAGCCATGCATTCGCAATCCATCAGTTGATGGCGGTATTCAGGAGAGGGGAAACCACCAATTTCATCCTCAGGGACATGCCCAAATAGTTACTGGCAACTGAACATTCTCAGCAACTCCTTCCAATTTTGGGGCTAACTTGAGCCCATACCCAAATGCCGATGCCTCAGCAAACCACTATTTTTAGCGACGAAAAAATCTCCATGCCCAAAACTTTGCCGGGATAAAAGGGAAAGCCCTATTTTTGGCTTCAAAAACGCTCATCACTTGGCTGGCTTTGAGACAGTGAGAGCTTTCGCATACAAACGAAAGATCGACAAAATGCTGTCAATCCAGATGATACTGCGGACGGCTGCCATCACACCATTACCGCTGGAGAGGTAGCAAATGGTGTACCTCAAGCACGCAACTGGTTCGGATGGGGCTTCAAATGGTCAACTTTTGCTCAATCGTGATTCTCTCCGAAGCATGTTAGACTCTTAGATGAGGCCAGAAACAGTGAGGCATGTCTCGCAAACGTCGTATGTCAACTGGGGTGCTGGGAATTGCAACGATAATTCCTCTGACAACAGGCATCTCTATCTGCACTTTGGCGTATGGGTCATGATCATGGCGGAGGGCCAGAAAATTCTTCATTTCACCGGAAAAAGTGGAAAAGCGTCGCTGCCAAGTCTAAATCGAAAGGCCTAGGTGCAACGTCCTCGCTGCAATGTAGCGAAAGCAAAGGCCGAAGGCTTCAAAGGGTTTCACTTTTTGGATCCTTGAGCGCAGTGTGTTGGCATATAGATGTGGATGGAAAATGGTGGAAAATGGTCCAATCACGTCAGGAAAGTACCCCCCATGTGATAAGTTTAGCTCATCCAAAACTGAAAAAGCAGACTCAGACCGCTTCGTGGATTTTCAGAGGCCGACAGTTCGTATGGTGGAAACCAAGTGTGGGTGCAATTGCAGTGGCCATAGATCTTACAGCATCGGCTTCTCACAGAGAAAGTAGCCGAACCAAGGGGTATCTGAAGTCCCCCACTTAAAGTCACAGCAAACCTCAGGCAAAAAAGAAGTGAAGATGACACCAAACAATCTCGCTGAGGGGGACACAACATGTTTTTTTGCAATCATTCAAATGCGGCAACAACGTTGGTGACTGCAACCACACCAACTACATAATATTGTCTTCATCAAAAACCCTGCTACTAGTACCCGTCTATTCCCAGACTACACGATTTCACGGGCGTGTCATTTTCCAATTGGGTGTGTTTATATTTTGACCCATAACCATATTTTGATGGTGGAAACTATAGTTGGATGCTGAAATGCCTACGTTTAGCCTGAAACCCATATGTTCATACTTGGATTGAAATAAAATCTCTCTTAAATCCCTGGAATTTTGCCAATGGTCATACATCATACTTTTTGTGGTTATCCAACTGATCCGCCATATAAATATAAATGATTGTATACATTATATAGTGTGTATAATTATAATAATATATATATACAGTATATAGAATTATATAGAGATATTGATATCGATATCGATATTGATATTGATAGTGATATTGATATATCCACCATAAATCTCCCCCAATTGTTCATTCTTCAACCCCATTTTTGCCGCGCGTTTACCCTTCCAAAGGTCTTGCAGAGGAGGACTGCCGCGGCAAAGGCAGGAAAACTCTCCAGGCCGTTCACATGGCAGGCCTCAGCTGGGGTCGGTAGGAATCATGGGGGCTTTGCGCCTGAAAATATAGCGATTTAAGCATAAGAGTAGAATATAGTAGAATCGCTCGGGTTGTTTAGTGTTGTTTGATGATGTTTAATGATGTTGAATCTTTTCATGCAAATATTCATCAGCAATTTCTCTTGCCACACTCTTCAACCCCAACCCATATGTAAATAGCTGCTCTCTCAATGCACGAGGTCACTGCTCGGTTCAAGTCCGAAATCCGCCATCCCTTTGTGGCTGATCCCACACTGGACCCGCACTGCATCCCCATATCCCACCATTTCTGCACCAAGCAGCAAAGCATCTTCGAACCAGCCCAGCTGATGTACCAAACTCATCTGGATTCGACCGAGGATCACGGTCGTTGGAATCTGTAGTGGAACTCCTGGTGCGATCCCCGGTGTGGCTTTGGCTTGTGCAAGATCTCGCGTGGGTTTTTATGCCAGGATTTCCCACGCAGGAACCTTGGGCTTCGCGATTCTAGCAAGGAAAACTAGGAATATTGGAATCCTCAGAGCGGAATCTGCGCACCGGTCACATTAGCGGAGCCTCATCTGTGGACAAGATCAAGTGAATCAAGTGATGAGTAGCATGCTGGTAGTCTCAACTTCATCATTGCGGCACTTGCATGTCAGGGTTTCCTATGGCCAAAGCTGGCTAACAGGCTGTATAATTATATAATCCTCTGAAACCAGCCTCAGATTTTGGGTGCCCAAATTGACGCTGCGTCCTGCCATAAATGATTCCCAACTTGATGAAGCGAGGGACATAGGCCAATGCCCAAGCGGCCGGGACGGTCGCCAGCGCTGGCAAGAACATGTCCTGGGAACGCCAGCGCTCGCTTCCGTTTTCCAGAAAACGAATCACGAGCAGATCAGCTAAAAACCCAGTCTTGCACACGGGGTCATCATGAAATTTGGGGATGTGGCCATGGCCATTGGGAATGGAGATGTCACCAGCAAAAGTCATCAAAAGTCAGGATGGAGTTGACTTCAATAGGAATGACCAAAATAGACGGATGTGTCCAAGAATGCAGAGGGAACAAGAAATTGGTCTCCAAACTAAACTTGACCATGCGAAGGGGCATTTTGGGGGTCCCTTGTGGACATACAGTCCCGACTTTTCTTTCCCCCGTAAAAACTCAAAGCTTGAGGAGAATCATTGCGTTTCAGAAGCTGGAAAAAAAGACCCTGGCTTGGGGGCCTTGAAATTGGAAATGCATTTTAAGGGCAGTTAGCAGAAAACCCTTGGTAACATGCCGAATCTTGAAGTTCCCGCCCTGCGCACCTTCATGACCCTCATCAGCAGCTCCTGTAGGAAAAAAAATGCTGGACACTTGGCTGAAGGGCTCCAACCCTTGTAATCAGACCCAAAGATAAAACAATTCGTAGGCATTTTTGGGTCCAAAAATGAATATTCCCCATGTCCAGTGGAGCGATCTATCCCCTTATTCCGGTAGCTTCCCAACTGTCGGTGATTTTCGCATTAGGAGGTTTACTCTCCCGCAATTACAGTGCCAAGCGATATTACTGGCTAAATCATAGTTCTTTTCATGTTCCCATCATTGGCATTCGTTTGCGGGTTTATGTCGTGCAACCCGGATTGGTATAATCTCATGGGCTGCTTAATCAGGGGGTGCCAAGTCTTGATGGCAGATTATAACACTTTTTGGGCGGAACTCCTCCTACTTGGGGGTGCAGTTCCAGTTTTCACTGGATAGCCATAGTTGTAGCGACATAGGGGCCCCATATCCCAACGTGTGGAGATTATTGCCATGGTTATGCCCATGTTTTTGACCTCAAGTGCAGCCCCCCAAGTACTTGATCAGGGTTTGGTACATGTTTGGTCTTGGAGTTTTCAACATCACTTGGAAAAAGTATCTGTTGGAGATGTGTTAGATGGAATATTCCCTTTTTGTTCGGTGATGTAGAAAAAAAAATGGGACATTTCCCACCCCCTGGCAGCTCCTGAACCTGTTGCTGCTGCGCGGGTGGCAGTTTCGCCATGGTGGTCATCACCCATGCTGGGGGCGCCTGGTGCTGCTTGGAGCTGGGACCAAGAGATTTGAAGATCTCAGGGTAAGAGCCGATGTCAAAAACTATCAACACCCCCAAACAATCTTTGCTGGATATCCTTTTGAGGTACTTAGGAGTTGAATGAGTTGCTGGTGCTCAAAAGAACCACGGGCTGTTCAACGGTGCTTTCCAACGCTTCAGGCCGGTCGGTGGCACCTGCATCCTGTCGTCCAAAGCAAGGGACTCCCTACCGCGGGAAAATTCTGAGCCGCATCTGAACTGCGGACACAGATCCACCAATTGATCAACCTCGGCAAACTTGGGATTAGAGTTTGTGACACCAAACAGGCTTAAGGCTACCGCGGCTACCCAGCTACCCAGCTGTTGAATTGGGCAATGCATACCATCGTCATGTTCCTAACCATTTCCTAACCTACCTCCACTGCAAATTGCAGCATGATGGTATCAAATCCAAACCCCAAGGAACATTGATCTTGCTTTGTGCATACCTTTGACCATCCAGATTTTGAGCACCTGAGTTGACCCCTTCGGTTGCTTTCCCGCCTCGGACACCGAGATCTGGCGCGACAGGGCGAAGTTAAAATTGAGGCCTTGGCTGCGAGCCAAGGCTTGATGCCTATATAAAAAGATAGGGAAAAAAACAAATCCTGACCGCCTCCCGAAACTTAAACCAACACACCTCCCAAATTGGTGACCCACCTCCATCTTGTCCAACCCCTGCAGTGGCCTCGCAACAAAGCAACGGGGCAACTCTTAAACGCCCTGTAATACGACATTACCGCAACTCGCGGTAAAGCACTCTCTGCACTCCCCAACAATGGCCAGTCCGAAATCCTCGGAAACAAATCATCCAAAGCCATTTTTTTCGGTGGATCCAATGTGAATTTCCAGGCGTTGGATCCCGACATGCCGATAGAAATAGAATCCGTTGACCCCAGGTACCCAGCGTCATCAAACAAGCACTTTCTTCTGCCGGCCACAAAGCATTCACTTAGAATCATCGTTATGGTTTATGAATAATATGAATATGATAATTTTCCGGAAAATTAACTATTGTCAGTGTTTGGTTCATAAATACACTACACTTCACTACACTATCCTTTTTTATTCCGTATGACCTTTATCATCGTCCCATTTTTCGGTCCCGCAAGAGTGGGATCCCGGGATGCAGCCTGAGGCCGGATTCGGCACATATTATTGACCTCCGGCAGCCACCACAAGGAGAACTTGGCCTGGTGCCCAGTGGCCCAGTGGCCCAGGGTGCCCCAAAAAAAAGAACCTCGGGAACCGTTGTGCCAGTTATGATCAGTTATGTTAGTGGTTGTTGGTAACTATGGTAACTTTGATAACTATGGTAACTTTGGCAACTATGGAGAACTTGGCCTGGTGCGGGGGTCAGTTGTGCCAGTTATGATCGGTTATGCTAGTGGTTACCCTCTGGTAAGCGTTTACAAGAAACTATGGAAAGATCCACCATGCTATTGATGGGTAAATCAACTATTTCGACTGGGCCATTTTCAATAGCAAAATGTTTGTTTACCAGAGGGTATTGGCAACTATGGTAAGTATGGTAACTATGGTTGTGTAGAACTTCCGAGACAGTCCCGTTGGATTGGCGGGCTCCACTTGCTAAATTTGATCAAGGGATTCATGGAGCTGGGTGCTGCTTTTCATGGTGGATTTAATCACCTTGAAAAGTGACCCATGCCCGTACATCATTCACATTTCCCTTGAAAAAGTATGTTCTGTCTGTTATCATATCATCTGACACCATATGTGATAACAACAATCATAAGGATACTATATGATAATATCACATATTTCAAACTTCCCCTCCCCAAAAAAATAAGACAAAATTCACCCAGATTGACCATGCCTCCTTGAAGAAGTCGTAGAATTCGGCTTTGGCATCACCGCGGGATTGCCTCATCCGTCTGAAAAGTGGAGATACCCCCCCAAATTGCAAGTGTTTAAAGGGAACATGATGGAACATGGTGATCTTCCTTGGGATTTATGGGCTCCCCCTGGGTCCATTTTCAGAGAAACGCGTGTTGACCATCCAACAGTTCCTGTTTCATCGCCATTTCTTCAAGCTGAACACAATCCACGACTTCATCCATGAACCCAGGATTGTTTAGTCCTAAAAGCAATTGAAAACATCACCAAATCTGCATGTGGCCACCATCTTCAGGCCGTACTCATCTACGAAAGGATTCCCCCCACTGGGAACCCTGGTAGCCCACCGGGAGCCCTGACACGAAGAGCGACATGCCCACCACCCTTACAAACCTCCGCTCTGAGCTAATGAGCGATGCGGTGATGTTTGGGCTGCCCTAGACATCTGGATAAATTCTAGATTCCAAGTAAACTACCCTCTGGTAAACTAACAAAACTATGGAAAATCACCATCTTTGATAGGTAAATCAACTGTCAATGGGCCATGTTCAATAGCTATGTAACAAATTACCAGAGGGTATACAATCGATCCATTTTAGGGATTGGAATACACTTAAAGAGAATCTCACCCTCTGGAATCCAACACGTCATCCGATGCTTTTTCGATTCTAGGAAGCCATCGGCCATGGGCCACGGGTCAACAAATCATCACCATGTCCCTTGGAGTTTGAGCACAACTGAGGCCAGGACTTGTCTGGATGTCCCAAGGGTGACAACATGAACTCTTTTGGGATGGACCTTAGAGCCACAAAACTTAAAACAACGCCGCCATCGCCCCAAAAAAGCGGCAAACTCCCAAGCCCCGCGCATGCGCGGTTTGATCATCGTGGTGTCCAAGCGAAAGCCTTTCGCCTGGAGTGCAGGTGGGATGATCCAAATGAGAAAATGCCTGGCAACTGCCACTTGGATCGCCCAAGCTTTCCCGCCTTCCGCTCGAGCGCCACCAACATGTTGTCATACTGTGAACGCTTGAACCTGCGAGACGACTGTTGGCAGTTGTTTTGGCGGACGCAGCTCAAATTTGGCCAAGAACAAATACTGTAAAACCGCTCTTGTTCACATCTTATTCTACATCCACTTGACCAACATCAACAGGAATACCCTCTGGTAAACTAACATAGCTATGGAAAATCACCATTTTTTATGAAAAAAACTCACTATAAATGGCCATTTTCAATAGCTATGTTAGTTTACCAGAGGGTATCATGAATCCCTCTGATCGTCTCGCCCGGGTGCCCAGGCGGATTGCTCAAGGTCTCATAGGCATCGTTGATCTCTCGGATCTTCTCTTCCGCCGTCTGGGAGCGTCAAAGGTTTTTGCCCAACTGTGAAAACGGCTGGGTTTTCGCATCAAACATCGCAAAAATGGGAAAGTGGTGTGTCTGACGGAAATGGGCAGGTTTTGGCTGTTTGACAATTTGAGCAAATCATGACAAGACATGACCATCTATAGGCTTTCCTGGACCCAGCACAGGGCCTCCCGGTTTTGTGGGTGTTTATCCGGGTGCCACTGCAAGACCAACTTCCTGCGGTTCCATGGGACCATCGGAATGGGGGGACATCCATTGACATCCATTTTCTAGTCATCCTGAAGTAAATAGAATATGGAATGTTCAAACAGATGCCCATAATTTCACTAAGTTTTTTTTTATTTCCATATTCTGAATCTACTCCAGAATGACTGCCTGGAAAACCAGCCATTTCTCTGTGACTTCGGGTAACCTTCGGGTAAACCCCCAGGACGGTCCTATAGACCTTCTTGATCGCATCTTGATCAACTTCTCGCTCCACCTTAGCCAGGGGCATCTGCCAAAAAAAACAAACGGGTGCCAAAAAGAGAAAGGCCAAATGATAGGGAAGTTAATCCGTTTGCATTGCAACCTGGCTAGCTAGGATTGATGGTGGATAGATCACAGTTGGATGGGTGTTCTTTTGAATATAGACCTATTTCAAACTCAGATGCGGAAGCTGTAATCCCTACTGACCAATGTCCATCTCTATCTTATGGGATCATGCCCCCCATCACATTCTCACTTCCTGACATCTTCCAACATGAACAACGAATCCTTTTTTCTTCGCAGTACCAGCTGCCTGGAATATGGACCTAAATTGGTTGGTCTGGAAGATGGAGACCCCAAACTCCAGTGATTTATCATACCAGGACCTTTCTAAAAATCCGTATTTTCGGAGAAAAAAAAACATGGTTCGACTCACCCAGCCAGAATCGGACGCCATTTGGTCACCTGAGGTTCGGACTCCGAAGAGTCCATAATAATCGGGAAAGCTGGTCGCCATCACATCGGGAAAGCGGGTCAGATGGGGTATAGCCCCCAAATGGCCCTCAAAATAAAGATCATGATGATTAATCAGCAGATATGGGGGCAATTTTCAGACAAAACCAATTGTCAAGACACTGTTGTTTTCAGTGACTGGGAACTCGTGGTTTATTGAAGCTGATTCGTCCGGTGGAGGTTGGTGGAGCCCTGTTGCTACGGAAATCGAGTTCCATTCCGAAAGTTCTCCACCCAGGATGGAATGACTGAACTTTCCCAAACCCGCCAAGAACCTGAAGTTTCCCAAAGTTTGTTTCTAGAGTGTTTGTTGGCTAACGCTAGAGTGTGGCATGTGACGCCTAAGATCGAGCTTGAGTCAGCAGCGACGGAAAAATCACACGCCCTGTGGGGCTGAAAGAGCTGAAGGTTGCTGAAGGTATACATCTATGCATATATACAAATGTACATATATGTGTATGTACATATATATATATATATGTGTTAATACAGATACATACATATATATATATTATTACATAATATATATATATAAATCTGCGCCCTTCCATTTCCACGCTGGGGGTCGGAATCCAAGCTGCAATGCAACATTGTGCATCAAAAGCAGCCAAAATTTAACCTGTTGAAAGACGACAAAAGGGTTGGGCCTGCAAAAACGCAGGGGTGGGAGCTTGAGCGCCAGCACAAATGTCCAGTTGAAGATTTGAAGTCAAATCTGCGCCCTTCCATTTCCACGCTGGGGGTCGGAATCCAAGCTGCAATGCAACATTGTGCATCAAAAGCAGCCAAAATTTAACCATTCTCCCCCACATTCACCGGTCGGCCTTTCAACAGTAAGAACCACGCCGTAGGTGGTACGCCTGCTTCTGTGAAGGTCTGTGCTTGCTGCAAGACGTCGGGAAAACCTGCAGCTGCTATGGATATAAATTCCTTTGTAGCTTGTGGCAGTTTCTCGACATAGGTCACGTACAGCACTTCCTGCAAATAGATCTCCATAGTCTTTACTGTCGCCCAACGACCACGGCGTCTCACCATTTCTGAGTCCTCACAAGCATTCAGGAGATGACTGGCACCTCCTGGTCGCAGGGAAGACAGATCAAACGCCCTAGCCCGATCGCCACTGCTGCCATCTGGAAGTTTCGCTGCTCTCATCAAATCATTGAACCGCTTTCTCAGGGTGCATGCCGATAGCGGCCAGAGCTTCGCTGTAGCATCAAGCCTTGCAAAGGCTATATCAAGCAGTTGAATGATGTCTGCAGGGTCAATCCTGGCAGCTTGATGTCTGGCATGTCGTCCTCTTGTTTTTGGTTCTCTGATTCGTAGTAAAGCATGTCTGGTACCTGGAGCTGCATCCCTCGGTAGCACCAAGTCACTTCTCGTGGCTTGCAAGGCCTCTCCTATGCGTAGGATTCCTGCCCATGCTAGCCCAAGGACTGCTGCTTCAGTCACCCAGCCCCATACCAGCGCCACGCTAAGCAAAGCCAGCAAAACACTCGCTGGCATTGCCGGGTGGTGGCTGAACGGCTCATCAGCAATCCATGAGAAGGCAAAATCCCAGGCCGTTGTGAGCTGTTTTCTGACCTGAGGTCGGGCAGCCGCCACACTGTTAATGGTTTCCGCAAAAATTCCATAGGCCTTCCCACTTCTGAAGAGCTCCCGTCCATACTGTGTCAGCCAATGAGCGATCTTTTCTGGATCCGCAGGTTTCTCCTTCAGCATGTAGAGCAAAGAAACTCCACGGGTCTGCCAGAGCCAAACTTGGAACTGCTTCAAGAGCTTCTTCCTCCGAGCTCTCGTGAAATCAAGGATGACTCGATCACCTGTCAGCTTTATAGACGTCCGCATCTCAGCTCGCTTCCGCTCTGCCAGCGAAGATGGTTCCATGGCATGCGCACCCAAACCGAAGTCCAACGGGGGGAAAGCAAAAGCAGGGCCTGCGGACAACATGAGACCGACGGAGAGCAGGTTGGCTCGAGAAATCCAAAGGCGCAGCAGACAACGCAAAAGGAGGAACCAAACCAAGCCAAAACTGACCACGACAAAGATGCACCTCAAGAGTTCAAGGAGTCGCCCGGCAATCCAAAGGGCATCCACAGACCACGACCCCAGGGGAAAGTGAGAGGAGACGCAAGTGGCATTTCCTGGGACACACGCAGAGACCAGCAGGACAAGGCGGATCCAGTTTGCGGCAGAGCGCTTTAACCCAACTCGGTGAAGGGCACGGAAATCAACGCCCTCAGCCTTTCGGATGGTCCCTGGGCTTGGCTCACGCAAACAGCAGTCCCTAGTGGGGTCATCGGCAACATTCAACCTGGTAGGACAGAAAGGCCAAACAGGGTACAGATCAAAGACAATCTGCAGAGCAGCCGCTCGCCGCAACAGGGGCTGCAGAAGGCGGGAAGTTGACCTCCCTTTCGACAAGGCACCTTTTGCAACAGCTGAGTCCAAGAAAGACAGGAAACGTGTGTGAGGAAAACGCACTCCATGCTTTGCGAGAACTCGAACAGCAGCAGACACCTCCAAGACATTTATGTGGGGAGACCTTTTCCAAACCCAAGACTCAACCTCGTTCCACTTTGCGGCCAGCATGAGGTCATTAGATACTACCGATTCAAGTCCATCAAGCTTCCAATCAGGCTCTTCAGCATGAACCTGCATTCGGAGTGCCTTCTTGAAAGCAGCCGCCAAGTGACAGCCCATCTCTGGGGTATAGATGGCAGATTTCTTTGTGTACTTCCCCTGGATTTGAACATGAGGATGATCCCTGGTGCAACGGCGCTCAACGTCAGCAACAGCAATCAAGTGCAAAAGGAAACGAAATTCCTTTTGGTGGATGGACCCGAACTGACAAGCCGCAAGGATTGCCTCAGAGAACGCTCCAGACTGCACAAGGGAAAACCACTCACGCAACCATGCCATTTTGGAACGTCTGGGTTGCTCCAAACCACAAGGCCGTCTGTGTCGTCTACCTGCCCTCATTATGATAAGGGACCTGAAGGCAAGACAGTTCCCATGCATGACTTTTGGATTCTCCCTGCAAAAACCATATGGCAACTTGTAGGACCTGACACATGGAAAAGCTGCAGGGGAAAAACTAGTGCATGAGGGCTCGATCAAGAAAGAGCGGAACCTACCCTCAGCAACCATATGCAAAATCCACTCCAAAAGTCGCGAGTCAGTCAGGTCGTAGTGACGGGATGCCGACAAATCCAGCGGAGGGGCAACCACAAGGCCTATCCCAATTGCAGCATCTGACACAGCACCAACGCCACCACAGATTTCCACAAAGTCGAAGTAAAGGAGGGGCGAGGCTTTTGGTCTGACAAACGCTGGTGTGGGGACCTCATCACCGTCAAACTCACCGATGTGCCTTAGCATTTCACGGAACCCACTGTCAAGCTGCACATAGCATCCATTCTTGTCAGAGTCAAGCCAAACCTCCTCACAGACCTCAGGAGACACACAGGCTTCGACTACAGCACCCTTGTTCAAGGAGGCATCAGTTGCAAACATCCTGTCATGATAGTTCACCGCAACATTTGAACACATCAGCGGCGCCAAAGCAGACAGAACAACCAACTCACGACTGACACTTCGTGGCAGAGGGACAATGCAGTCAGGCGGTTTGGACTCGGAGGCTGCGCCCAAAGCGAAAAGTCCATCAACGACAGAGCTGAGGCATCGTCGATACAACAGGGCAGAAGTCCAATTCCCAGCAAGGCGACAGGCCAAATTTGGTGAAAGTCCAGACAGGGCAGCAGCTCGGAGGGACAAACAGGCCAAAGCCAAACGTTTTGCAACCGGGGACCCAACCACTACGAACCCAGACCGGACCGCAGATTCGTCAGAGATGACCTCGGCTCCTGCGGCCTTGAACCTGGCACATGCCTCAACATCCTTTTCAACAGACCCGACGAGGCCCTCTCTGTCATAGAGGTCTCGCGCCCTGGCCAGCGCGGTTGCAGCAACTGTGTGCAGTGGCTGAGTTCCTAGGGGCTCCCTACCTATTACAAAGAAATCATCAATTACAAGTCCAGTATAGATGGGGCCTAGGGGGAATCCATGGTGTCCTCTTATCTGGTTACTCTCACTCAACAGGCCACCCTCCTCCAGGAGGGTCTGGTGAGCACAAAGCGCAAACTCAACTCCAAGGTGGTCGCCCTGAAAAAGTGAGCTGAACCCTGCAAACAAGGGACCCTCATGCCTCTTCTTTGCACCAACTTCAGGCGCAAATCCAAGTCTGTCACCAGCAACCTCCCTCTGCTTTGGCATGGCTGTTTGGGCACGACGGTCAAAGCTCTCAAGCGCAGCAAATCCAAGGACCTCGGACCGATCAAAACTGAAAGGCAAGAGATTTGTCTGAGCCCTCTCAATGCTAACGGATGCCTGGTGATAAAAATCCCTACGGTCAGTGACGGATGCTATCAACTGCTCCCGGTGGCGCTGGACCCGCAACTGGACAAGCAGAGGACCCGGTGGCAAAAACTTGGAGGGGCCATCATAGCTCCTTTCTGCCATATTGACTCGCCTACGGTCACCTATCTGCCGGTCAGTGGAAGGGTTCTTGAAGGCGTTGAAAACCCGACAGAACATTCCATCATCGGCTGGGCCGGGGAAAAATTCCAAAAGACCTTTTGCATCCCAAACCTTCATCAGCTCAAAACACTCGGCCCTCGACTCCTGCTTGAAGTTTGGTGCACAAGATTCATCAACAGGGAGTCCATGACGAAGAAAAGCCGGCTCAAGAAAGGGCAACCACAGAGGACCAGACAGAAAATCACTCATTCTCCACTTTCCTTCTCCGACCAACTTCAGGCGCGAGGCATCGAGGGATCTGTAAGGTGCAAGCTGGGGATAACTGTCAACAGGCAGCAAACTTGGGTCTTCTCGGAACTTGGTGGGCTGCTTGAGGTACGGCTGCTGCATCTCAGGCGATCTTTGGGCAAAATGCTCCAACTGCAAAAGACATGCAACTAATTCAGGCCCGGACCTCCCAGGAGCAAGTGAAAAGGGCTCCGGTGAAGATCCACACACTGCAAGAAGAGCTCTCAGGCGCTGGATGATGGCTCGCTGCATACCTGTAGGCTCTCTTCCTAGCTCCTCCAAAGAAGGGTAGCGACCCAAATACACAAAATTCAACGTGAAAATGGTCACATGCAAAAGGCGGGCTCTGCAAAGCTTCAACAGCCTCTTCTTGGAAAGCGTAGGGAATCCCTTGTCAATGCTGGAAGGCAAAACTGGCAAAGGCAAAGGAAAAGCAGTGGTCGACAGCCCTTTGGACTGTGGCGTGGAAAAACTCAAGGAACGTCGAAGATGCCAGGCAAAATCGCACCTAGTCTTCAAAATCCAACGAGGCAAACAAATGGCCCATCTTGGAAAATCTATAGAGTCTGTCAGCGGGTTTGGCTCCTGCCCCGCTGCAGCTGAAACATTTGTCCTGCTCGGGTGTGCATTTGGTGGGCACTCTGCAGTCACTCCTCTTCCGCTTCCTGGGCATAGCTGGCCGTCTGGCCCTTGGCGTTCCCTTTTCCCTTTCTTTTGGCTTGAGCCTTTGGCTTTGCGCTGGGCTCGGAACTGGGCTGACCTTTTTGTGATCCTGTCGCCTGACCTGATAGTTCCTGACGCTTCACATTGATCAGATCCAGTTCTTTCACAAACGCGAGCGCCGTCGTGACCCACTTTTGATCCGCCAGTTGAGAGAAAGCCCGGGATCGTGCCAAAACGCTCTGCTGTCTGTTGACAAAAATGGCTGACGGAGGATCCTCTTGGAGCGTCAACAAAGCTGCTAAGTCGAAGCGACCTCCGTCCAGCACCGCCTGGTCGATGCAGACCGCCAGGAGGGCAGTGGCGTCCTGGGCAGCTCCTGTGTTCCCAGCTTGGAGAAAGTCCAAAATCCCCATCACCTGGTAGAGCAACAGCCCCAAGTCCCGGTGGCGACCGAAACCTCCGTACCGCTCCATGTAAAGGGTACCACAGATCCCCCTGCGGAGCAAGTCCTCTGGTGAGCCAGTAGCGGGCATAGTGGGCTGCATACGTCGGGCCATCGCTTTCAGCACAGACTGGAAGAAGGCGCCCGAGTGGGTGGCCAGCTCTGCTTGCAATCGGGCTCGGCCCGTCGCTCCTCGGGTGCTGGCAGACTGCACCCCTAAGGTCAGATCGGCCATGGGATCTTGCGAGCTTGAAGCTATCTGGCTCACTAGAGCGGTCAGCGCCTTTGACTGCACTAGCATTGCTTTGGCAAGGTCCCCTTCTGGTAGAGGGGCGTCTGGTTTCTCCTCCTCCAGTGCAACCAGCTCCTCCGGCTTGAATTCCATCGCCGGGCGAAAATCCATAGAGAGCTGACCCCTGGTGCGAGGCGGGGGAACATTCAAGGCTTTTGCAACTGCTCCCGCTGCAACTGGCTGAGGCATGGTGGCTGATAAGGGCTGAGAAAGTCCAAGCGCCCCTACCCGGGAAGGAGCAACCAAACGATCTTCCAAAATTTGCTGCTTCTTTGTCAGCTCCTGCAACTGGCCTGACAAAGAGGGCACTACCGCCAAGAGTTGGTCCATGGAAGCCGCCAGGGAGGCAGTGGTCACCCGCTTTGGCTTTTCTGCGCTGGATGCGCCGCCAGTAGGAGTGTCGGCGGGCTTTGCAGACTTCCGGGCTCTTCTGGGTGGGGGAGGCTGTCTCTGGAGCGCAGAGTCCCCTGATGTTCTGCCATCCTCCTCCAAGTCCGGTCCTCCTCCTGCAGAGTAAAAGGCCAAACCTGTGTCCTCGCCTGCAGCTGAAACCCAATCTCTTGCAGCTCTCAGCAGCTCCACCGGTGAAGGCAAACTGTAAGGATTCTCTGGATCGAAAGGGCAGGCTATTTCTTCTAAATCCAACATGGGGCGCAGCTGACGTACAAGGTCTGCCGAGACATCCACGATCAGGACTTCGAGCTGGGAACCTGTGGGGGACCGAATCCCATCTTCGACGATCACCCCTGGAACGATGGCAACCGTGGAGGCGCCGATTGGTCCAGCTTCCTGTCCAGCATTGGCTCGATCTAGAACACCCTGAGGAACAAAACCAGGGGGAACAGCCAGCAAAAGTCCAGCTTCTCTTTTCATGATGGCCAACACCATGGCCTCGGAGGCACCATCTGCGTCGGGAACAGTTGGCCATTCTAGCACATAAGGTTCTAAATCCTCCTCCACCACCACCAGAGAGGACAGGCTCAGAGGTTCGAAGGCTGGAAAGTCCAAAGCCATCGCTAGTCACTTCAGGGCAAAAACTGGATGGAGTCTTCTGAGAAGCCAGCTGAGACCAGGTAAACCCTTGACTCCAACTCACTTGGGAAGGACAAGGAAACCGAAGAGCTGTTCTCGAGGGAACCGATGGCACGCCAGTAAGAGGCTGATGAACGGAACACCACAGGGCACTCAACAGAATCAGCACGGGCCACAGCGTAGAACCTGGCACGCAAATCCAAGGTGGGTGTCCGGTTCGGGGTGAAGACTCGAGAGGATAAAACCGCCCGCGCCCACTGACCAGCAGTCCAAGCACGCAAGATACGACCACGACCACCCAAGGTTGCACCAGACAACCGACCACTGAGAGCCAAGAAGCGAGGTGGACAGTCAGAGAAGGTGGAAGCGATCTGATCGCGGGTTTCAAGTCCAGTGCGGCCAAGTGAGATAGGATCAGCACTAGGCTCCTCAGACAGCAACTCAAAAGAACCAGTAGAAGGGCTCGGAGAGCGACCCGGACGTTCAGAGTAGGTAGACACAAACCGCACGAAGTCCGCAACTTTGGACGGAACCCCAGAGACAGTGATGTGCAAACCAGGCAAATCCACAGTAGCTTCAATGCCGACGTCGTGGCTGCTCATGCAGGTACCCCAGAAGGGCAGTGCGCGCCCTCCCGACGGGATGAGAGGGACTTAGATTCGGACCAGCAGCAGGGAATGAAGGAGTGGAGGAAGCAACAGGGACCAAGTCAAACCTGAAGACCAACCAAGCACAAAGTCCAAACCCAGAAACCAGTCCAACCAAGAAGCAGGCCAAGAGCAAACCGAGGCTAGGGGATGAGCAGTAGAAAGGGCAGGCAAGTCCAAACAGATTTGACCGCAGGCCCTGAACAAACAACCCCGCCACAGAGGAGAGCTCGAGCATGGACAGCTTGAGCGCCAGCACAAATGTCCAGTTGAAGATTTGAAGTCATATATATTTATATAACTATATATTTATATATTTATATAATTATATTTATATATATATATATTTATATAATGTTTATCTATTTATACGTATGTGATATGAATGTACAGATATACACACATAAGTTCCTTGATTTTTCTATTTCAACTCGTGCATTACCAATTACGGCTCAACTCAGCAAGTCCGCTCCACTGCCTCGCGGAGAGCGGAGAGCTGGGTGACAAACATGTTTTTTTTCGTCTCTAGTAACCCCAAATAGATGGAAAGTAATTTGCTACTGGTTTAGTGGGGGGTTTACTATAGTATTGCTATAGTTTTCTACTGGTTATTTCTTTTTAAGAGTTGCTATTGTATTGTTTCATGTTCAGTCGCTACACTTCTGGATCCCCCATTTTGCCGCAATCGCGCAGCTGGATGCCGACTTCAGTAGCACAGCACACCTCGGTCATCATTTCGCCGACTGCAGAACCCTCATGGATATTGCTTCTGATGGTTGGATAACAGATCTATGTGTATATATATAATAGAATATCTTAATATATAATATATATATATAATATATCCAATCTTTTTGGGGGGAAACAGCCCTCGAATTGCACAAAATTCAGTCGTCGAGTGCTTTGTCCTCGGAGATTCTGCCTGTCGCTCACCGATCACCGATCCTTCGGGCCTTGCTCGGGGGAGATTCGTCCGATTCGTCGGATTCGTCAGACAAGAAACGAGCAATTTCTATATGGCCTCTGCATTTTGCCAAGGACGATGCTCTTCTTTTAGTGACACGATCAACACCAGATTCAACCAAAAACTTGACCATTTCTAGATGGCCCTCTCGAGCTGCAACCATCAAAGAGGTCACACCATTGTTCTTAGCTTGATCTTGATTAGCACCAACCCGAACCAGAAGGCGAACAATATCCAAATGGTTCTTGTCAGCTGCAAGAATAAATGGAGTTGATCCCTCTCTTGTCAGCGCATCCTTGTCCGCCCCGGATTCAAGCAGGAAGTGGACAATGTCAACATGGCCAAAAGCGGCTGCGAGATGTAATGCCGTTGACCCATCATCTGTACTTGGCTGATCTGCGTTGGCCCCGGCTTCAACCAGCAAGCGCACGATGTCAAGTTGGCCTTCAGAAGCTGCACAGTGCAGTGGGCTTCGCCCATCATCTGTCTTCAGCTCTTTGTTGGCCCCAGACTCAACCAAGAAGCGAACCATGTCAAGATCGCCCTCCTGAGTAGCAACTGACAATGGTGTTGCACCATCCGTCCCGGCTCGATCTTTGTCAGCGCCCGCCTGAACGAGGAAGCGCGCGATAGGAAGATCTCCCGACTCAACTGCATGAATCAATGGCGTTGACCCATCCATGGCGGGCGGATCCTTATTGGCACCAGCCTCCACCAAGATTTTCACTATAGCAAGGTGACCTTCCGAGGCTGCAAGGTGCAATGGAGTTGTACCTTCATCATCCGGTTGATCTTTGGCAAGCCCAAGTTCAAGCAGGAAGCGAATCACAGCCAGGTGGCCATTTACAACTGCAAAATGTAGAGCTGTTGACCCGAACATGTCGCATGCATTTCTATCTGCTCCTGCCTCAAGCAATAGCTGCATGGCTTCCAAATGACCGCATGCTGCCGCACGGTGCAGTGGCGTTTCACCGCTTTCATCTTTGGCAGTGACATTTTGAGGCCGCTTGAGCAACTCCTCAAGGGCTGTTAAATCATTGTTCGTGCAGGCAAAAATCATCTGCCTCTCCTTTTCGGCATCAGGCGGACAAAACTCGCAAACCACCAGCTGAAGCTTCGTGGGAAGAGAGGTAAAAACTTCATCATCCGGAATTTCCCCAAAATCACCTTCCCGGAAAAGTCGTTGCCGAAATCTAGTGGCACCAACGTGAGCTGCCAAGAGTTGTTTCACCGCCTTGGCGGTTGTTCCTTCGACTTGAGTCGCATCAAGAACTGCCACCGGTTCTCCGGACGCTAGGAAGCACACCTCCATTGCAGGTTGACATGGGACGGATGATGCTGTCTCCAACTGGTTTGACCTCTCAAAACCTGTTCTTAAATGGGGCGACAAGAACCATTACAACCAGGAAAGCTTTCCAACATACCACCTTTTGATGCATGGTTCGGAAAGAACCTACCCTCCACGTTTCGGATGGTGTTTCGGAAACCCTAACTGCCCTAACTGGATAGTCATTTCCATCCCCTGGAAAATAGCTCTGAGCCATGAAGCCATGAAGTTCGTGCGATGCGACAAGTTTTCCAACAAAATAACCACTGTGGTTGCTGACCTTTCTATGCACTTTCCATGAATATGCACAATTTCAATGAAAAATGTCAGGTGGCTTTCCAGTCGGGGTTTGGTCCTTTTTCGGCACGTTCAAATCAACAGGAACTGTTCTTTTCCATCGAAATGTTCGAAACCTCTGGAGGAGCCCACTGGATTTTCCCGCTCTCCACATGTTTCCGGGTGACCCAGCGGCCCGGCACCGCCATCGTTTCGATGCTCTCCTGGTGGAAGATGGGTGTAACGAAGACCCGGCATCTTGGGCATCTCAAAATCATCAAGAAAGTGTCGAATGCCACAAAAATATGCCAAAAATGATGAAAAGTCCGGTTTCAAACACCGTAAGTGGTTTGATTCCATAGCCATCATTAACCAGCCATCATTAACCATCATTAACCACCATTAACCACCATTAACCACTATAAAACAATATTAACCATGGTTTCATTCCACCAATCAGAATTGGATTTATTTCCCTTATGAGCTGGAAAATCGAGGGGCTGAGACCAAGAGACACACGATTCGATGCACCCACTTCCTATGAGTTTTGAAGGCCTGCTTGGATGTGCATCGGACTTAGTGAATGGTTCAGAACCATCTACAACCATGGTTGTAATCCAATTACATATGGAATATACCCAGCTGTATGGGTTATTCATATGTCACTTACCAACTGGGCAAATCAACCCTGATCTGAAAAGGCTTGATATTCAGAAGCTCTGCTTGGGAATGGACATGACATGGGTCATAATTTTGGTGCCTGAAAGGCTTCACAAAACCTTTGGACCAATCCCCAAGGCTATTCACGTGCTGGGGGAAATGGGACCAAACAAATGTTTTTCTCCACTTGATGTACGAATGTTTAGAACATGTTCAGAAATGGTCACTAAATAAAATTCAAATTTTACGGCAATCTTGAGGCATACCTCATTTTTGGACCAACCGACATGTCTAGCCGACTTATTACCAGCTTGAATCCTTGCAAAACCCTGGTGCACAAAAAGGATCTATCCAAAATCCAGAAAGCCGCACCCTGCAGCACCTTGCACAACAGCTGCTGGCGCCGACCTAAGCTGTGGCAAAAAATGTGTGTGTGTGTGTCCAAAAATGGGGAATACCCCCAGTTGAATGGTTACCCTCGAATTTTGATGGTTTATCATCATCTTCCTCATTCAAATAGCCACTGAGGGGGGCTTCTATGTCTCATCTTCAGATAAAACCATATTTGGGGATCAATTAGGTGGTTGACCCCAGCATGTGGATCATATGAGTTGCTCAATTTCATGTCAATTGCGTGCTACGGGATCACCCAGTTTGATGCGCACGTCAATTTTGAAGACTTGGATCTCAAGCCGATGGCGTGGCCTCAACAAACCTTGAAAATGGATGAAAATGGGAGGTTCCACCTGTGCATATACATGTAGAGACGTGCACGTCTCATTGCATGCAGATTTGGGGAGCAGATTCATTCAAATGTTGGAATCCCTATCATTTTCAGGTTCCCAAGCTGAAGCATAGACATCATGGACAGAAAAGGAAACCACATCCGTGTCTTGTGACTCATGCTCATGGCAGAGAAAAGGTGTGAAACATCTTGAAACAAAAAAAGGAAAACCCCGCTACAAGGGTTGCAAAGCTACAAAAAGCGACGCTTGGACCAATACTGTACTTGTTCCGCATCTTTACCGCAAGGGCAAAAATGTGGAGTAGCTGCCTGACAATGAATGTTGACTACATATGACGACTATAACTATATATTGCATTTCTA